TTCAGGTATGGATATACCTTTATTTGTGTAAGTGTTTATTTGCACTATAGCAGTAGCTTTTAAAATTGGCAATAAGGCAACAAATCTTCAATCAATTATCTGCTCAAAAATGAAGTGTGTGGAAAATGGAAGGAAAGCAGGCTTTGCAACCAGTTAGATCTGAGTTCAAATTCTGATCCTCCTGATTACTAGTTGTTTGGCTTTTCACAAATTTCTTAATCTCTATAATCCAATTTGCTTGCTGCAAAATGGCTTTGATGGTACCTATCACACAGTGTTTGTTGATGGAATGACTAAAAGGGCATATATTGCATCAAGCATAGTTCCTTGAACATGCTAGACTTCAAATAGAAATATGAGTTTGTAAGAGGAGGGTCCCAGTTCTTGGAACCCCAGCAGGAGACTAAGAAAATTTCTACTGAAAGAGAGAACTGAGGATTGGACTGTAATTTGAAATTTTCACAAAGGCTAAGTAGGAAGCATTTGTTTATTACAGATTTTCAGCTTGTCTCAAGTTTAAATTGAAGACTAGCTTCCTCAGGTTAAAACTGTGTGGTCTGGCAAATATTTTGTAAAAATTGTGTGATCCATTTAACTGGAGGTTTAGAATTTTAGTTCTGGCATTCTTTGATGCCATTTTTTCCCCCAGCATCTTTATTTCCATAGAAGAACCAACCGAGATCTAGGGGAATTACCTACGCTTTTTGGAATGAAAAAGCTAGTTAGCAGTCCATCCTACCCCCCACCCCTATTACACTTATTTGCAACTTTTCTTCTGGATAAATGATCAGGTATTGTGAAATGCTTTTTAGAGAAAGATACAATGGAGGTTGTTTATTCATATCCTTAGAATTCCTCTTACTAAAATCCTTTTGCTAAAATTAATGTAGCTCTCATTAAAACAGAGCTTCTCAAGAAGAATCTCTAAGCTATCCTTTGTTTGGTACTTTTAAAATTCCTTTTAAAGTGTACAAATATATGTGAAACTATTAAGTCATCAAAATGATGTTATTTTTTCCCAGCTAAGTGGGTGATAATATAAAACATTCACTTAATATTTTCAACTGGACCACCAAAATTTCTGTTATTTTGAGCTTACAAATGCAACTCTTCCTATTTTCTTTTCTTTTCTTTTTTTTTCTTGCCAAATAACTTTTGTATGTAATAGTTTATCTCCATTCCCACAGCTATAATCACTTCAAATTTTTTCTCCTAAAATATTTTAACAGCTTCTAAAGTGGTTACCATTCTAGGGTCTTTCATTTTCCATGCTGTTGTCAAGTCTAATGATAGCATTCAATCAACTAAACACCATCAGTGGTTCCCTATGACTTAAAGGATAAATTCCAAAATGCTTAGCATATAAGATCTGTCACAGTCTGGCCCATATTTGTCCTTGTTCATCTAGTGACATTATCTCCCTCTCATACAACTTCCAATCATAGCCAAATTGTGTAAACCCCATGTTGTTCAAGATTCTATACCATCTTTGTACATGCTGTTACCTCTGTGTGAAGAATCCTTTATACATTTCCCCATATGGAGAACTTGTACTAAATCTCTTAGATTTCTCAAAGATTCCCTTACTTCAGCAATGGCTTTTCTACTCCTCCCTACATTTTCAAAACATTTTGTATATTCCTCTAACCCCATTCTAATTTATGTTTTTACTTTCACATCATTTTTTTACCATTTATATATAAATCCTTTAAAAACACAAACTTATTCACTTTGTAACTTGAGGGCCTAACATAAGGCATGGCATTGAAAGAGACATTGGTTAAGTGTTGAATGAATAGATGAATGAATGAATGGCCAGATCTAAAGGGAAGAAATCAGAGAAACTTAAAAAAAAAAATGATCTAATGAAAATTTGATTTAAAATAAACTATTTGACTCAGTCATCCAGTATCACGTGTCATATTCAATGGCATCATTATATTAAACCATATTATTATAAAATTATTATAGTGGAAACCAGAAGAATGAAATACACAGGCATTAGGAAAAGGTTCACCTGGCTAAGATTGCATGTAGATGCTCCAAAGCTGGCAAATTGACTGTTTGTTTAGTTAATTTTGCAATGTGGTGTTTAGACTAGGTAGGAAGGTGGGCTGGGTAGAGGAGGTAGCAGAGAAAGATGGATGGAAATTCTTCTGTAAGTCACATGTACCTTGGAGGTAACCTGACCTATTGTTTAGGGCACAGAATTCTGTATTTTTTAAAGTTCTTAGGCTGGATAAGTAATAATAAATTAAAGCTTCATTTATGAAATTACTGCATGGTTAAATCCCAATATGTTTGGAGAAAAAAAAAACTGTCAGGGTTTATTTTTCTCTGATATTAAGTTTTGGCTTATCAAAAAGAGCCATAATTCTGAAATTTTTCATATACTTTGCGTGTTCTCAAATTACTTTGTCGTGAATGGCATAGCCCACTGTTTTGATGAGTTTTGATTCTACTTTTAACAAGCAGAATAAATAACAATAACACTAGTCTGGTTAATAGAAAGAAAGAGATCAGTGACCAGACTAATGCAAAATTTATTTATTATTAATGTCAAAGTCTCATTTTCTACCTCCACATACATAATTAAGAGACCACAGCATTCTCTTTGTCTTTACGGGGAAAGTAGGAGAAGTAGAAAATGCTACTCCTCTTTACAAACACGGCAAATGAATGGCTTTTTTTCTCATTGGCTGTGGAGTTGGCATAATTTAGGCTACCTACAAATAGTAGCTCATTAGTAACTACTAGGTAATTGTTGGCTTGCATTCAGATATTGGCAGATGCCTGATAAGACGCTTAATGAATTTTTCATTAGTCTTTCTGAGAAAGCCTTAAAGAGAAAAAATACTTCTGATGGCAACAGCTCTTTTGGTTTCTTTTGCTCCCCCCGTGAGTTTCCAAGTATTTTCAAAATCAAACTGTAAATTGTTAATGACATCATACTTAGGTATCTTTCAGCCAAATATTCCATTCTAATAAATTAATGCTATTTCTTCTTGCTCTGTATGTCCCTCAACCCAAAGTCACCACCAGTACCATGATTCCAAGACACTTCATTTATATGCATTTAATTTTGTATTAAGTTTTCAAAACATTAGTCCCCCACACATCTGACATAATTTCCAAATAATGAATAGGGGATGGAAACAGTAGTTTCTAATAGATAACATTTTTAACTACAATTTGTGTTCAAGCACAAAGTGTCGAGTGAATAGGCAAATATTTGATGTTGCAAATTCTATTTTTAATATTCATTCATTTAACCAAAAATGGTTTAAATTCTATTGTTCAGTGAAAGTTTTTAGTGGAAAGTAAAGCATTCACAACAATCTAGTACTTTAGATAGATGCTAAAAACAGACGGGTTCATAGTTACATGGGGAAAATACTGATTGCCACAATAAAACTTTCAATTATGTCATCTAAGAATGTTGCAGAGCATTTCATTATTGATTCTTCGGAGAAGATATAACTGCTGAATGCTAAGTGCAATTTCGATTTGTCAACATTACTTTTGCTGTAATTAAAATCCTAAAGTCATCTTTAAATAATTCTTCACTCAAACTGCATCCTGATAAGTTTCTTTATCTCTATAATTGGATTGCCAACACCTAAATAAGTGACTCATCCAAACGCACTTGTGATATCTCAATGTTCTTGCCCTGAAACAAGCACCTTTAAAAGCTTTCTGCCAGCATTTCTAGTTGTTTAAATATAAGCTGAGAGGGACTTAGCCAAAATCATTAAGTGGTGTGACTTCAGTGACTTTTATCTCCTTTATTTTTATTCCTCTATTTACTTTTTAAGTCAATGGCTTCATCCTTCTCAGGACTCCATACTGGTACACTTTTGCATGGCCTCACCTGCCAGTGAAATTATCAATAATCCTCTCTTATCATCTCCCTGGTTTCCCTCCTCCCTGGGCTTTGTCCTAAGCTTACTGCCAGGGAAGAAAGCAGCCTGAGAAACTGAACCAGGCTACTGGGTAGGCTTTCTTTGGGATCTCTCTGTGAACTTGGGCTTTTACTACTTGAAGATAAAAACACCTAATAACAAAGGTGACATTACGTCAAGAAAGATCAATAAAGAAAATAATTTATCTTCTTCATTCTGGGAAAAATCTCATCTTTTCACATCTGAAGTATTTTGAGTGTTCACTGGAACCATTTGTGGTTTCTGTTCCATCCCCGTCGTCTCCAGCCACACCCTGTTCTCCTTCGGCATATCCTTCTCTGGGGTTCTTTTCCAATCCCTCATCCTCAGATCCTCTCCCCTCAGATGTCTCCCTTGTCCCTAATTGTGTCACTTCCCTCATACCCATTTGCTTCATTCATTTGTTTTGTATTTAGAGTTTTTTAATCTACTCAGTTATAAAAAAAGAACAGAAAATTGAGGTATCTGTAGAATTTTACATTTGCTGAAATTCAAATAATCTGAATGTTACCGTAATTTGAAAGCCGTTTTCCATGTTAACTTTTGTGGCCTCTGTTGATAACAATAAATTCAATCATGCGTGCAGTATAATTGATCATTTTTAAATACTATTATGTCATTTCTTTGAAGAACTGTACTTTTACTTAGTATTTTTTTAAAAAATAAGCCCTACCAGTGCAATAATAACCTTATGTTTATAAACATGTAATCTTCTGTTTCAATCCAGTCAGGATTTATGTATATATTAACTAAGAAAAATATTGTTCAATTACTATAAAAACTATTTTGAAACATACAATTAGAGAAAATACTGTCAAAATGATTTTTATACATGATTACAGAGGCTCTGAATAAATATGCCTAATTCTTATTTACCAATATTGTTATAAAGGAGTATAGTAGTATAATCTTAAATTATAAAATGTATTTGAGAGAAATTATGTATAATGAATACAAATAATTGTACACGTTTTCTTTTTTTAAAAGTGTGCATATTTTCTAAATGAATAATTTATGCACTGTTAAAATATAATAAGTCATTGGTGCTACCAGACCAACCTTTATGTCTATGAGATCCATCCATGTTGCTAAATTCAATATGATTTTCATCAGCCCAGTAGAGTCTATGGTTGACATAATCTATTGTTAGTGCCATGGGTCTAGAAATCTTGGTTTCTATGACAACACTCTGATTGGTTCCATCCATTCCAACACGGCCAATGTGAGGATACTCACAGCAGTCAATCCAATACAAATACCTAGGAAAGAAAATCAATAGCCATTTTGTTTATAGACATTCAGGGAGTGAAACATCACCCAATATTTCACTTATTTACTCAGCTATTCCCCAAATTAATTCATGGTAGCTCTCTGAATTGTAACTCTAAGAAGCATATTTTAAATACAAGCTTTTCTTATGATTTTTTTAAGGTTTATTTATTTATTTGACAGACAGAGATCACAAGTAGGCAGAGAGGCAGGCAGAGAGAGAGGAGGAAGCAGGCTCCCTGCTGAGCGGAGCCCCCCGATGATGCGGGGCTCGATCCCAGGACTCTGGGATCGTGACCTGAGCCGAAGGCAGAGGCTTTAACCCACTGAGCCACCCAGGCGCCCCTCTTATGATTTTTATTAAACAAATAACACACTTCAAAATATCCACATAATTTTAAATATGTTTCCTTTAGCACACAAACCTGTATAGAGAACATTATTTCTACAAACATTAACAAATTACAGATCCCTAAAACTAACAGAAGTAAGCCTTCAAGCTGCATATGTAATGTTGGAGGAATAACTATCCAGATTTTTTTTTTTTCCTTTTTGCTTCATTACCAATGAAAACTTCAAAATGATTCATGGAGGAGTACATTATATTTGCCTGAATCTGCATTCCTCACTGTGGTAGCCTTTAGGCAACTGTGACTCTTAACATTTAAATTAATTAATACCATATGAAATTAAATGAACTATATTGTTCCTCAGTCACACTAGCCATGTTTCAAGTACCCAATAGCCATATGTCACATGGCTACCATATCCAACAGCATAGATATAGAACACTTCCATAACCACGGAAATTCTATTGGACAGTACTGATTTCAATTATGTTATTGGAAGTTCTAGAGTAAGGTATATCAGATAGTAGTTTAAAAAAATAAACAAAAAAGGAAGACAGTTATATTGGTACTAAAACTAACTGAGTTAAACATAAATATTATACACTGGTAAAATAGGAATAATGTATAAGTGACAGAAATTACTGAGAAATTTCTACTTAATTAAACCATCTATTTTTTTCTTATAGTAGAAGAAAGTCACTTTATCTTGCTGAATGTTTCCTTCTCTATATGATTCAAGATTTGAGTTAGAGAATCATTAACATCCATTTCACATTCCAACACCGAAACTGAAACTTATTTACCCAAGTGGTTTCCCCAGATCCATTCTTTTCTTTTTAGTAAGTATAAAATCATTGACTATTAGTTCTTCAAATTTGGAAAATGTGGTAATTAAAATAATATAGTATGGAAATTATTCTATATGTTTATAACTGGCATATTTGGTTTAAAATCAAAATATTCCTTAAAGAAAAATCTTGTTCACACATTCTGATAGTGATAACTGTGTTGAGACATTTTAACCACACACTACAAAATAAATAAAAGAGTTGAAGAAAAACCATTTATCAAATACTGGGTTAACATAAATAATCATTGTAAGAAATATGTGTATTTTTGTGCTGACAATTATTTTGGGAGGTTCTGTATAAAGGTAGGGGATAGCAGATTATAATATATTTTTTAAATTTTCTTACTTGCCAAAATATCATTAAAAGTCCTAATTAAGCATGACACTTAAAATAAGAAATATGTATCTGGTAAGGACTACACAAAAGGTAGTCTACTGCAAACAGAGAGTCAAAGAGAGCTCTGAGAGGGAGAATTTAAAAACATGTTTGAGTCGGAAATTCAACAGTCAAGTTTGTATAGTACAATACTGGATTGCTATCCAGTGCTTATGTATATCTATGTTTGTTCTGAACAAGTTTGAAAATCTCAAATCAGCAGATAATAAAAGACACCAAACCTTTCAGAAATTGATTAAAAGTATTTTTTCTTTAAATCTTCAATTATTTTAAGTTATTTAAATCTTGAATTTTTATTTTTATTTTGAAAGCAAACACATGTTAGCAAAATACAACTAGAAAAACACAATCCATTCCTTTCCAATAACTTTATGGGGGTGCACCTTGCTGTCTATACTAGAGAAAATGACAGTCCAGATAAAAAGGAAGAAAATGAATCAGAAGGAAGTAAAAAAGCAAAGATGTTTATGTCACTGAAATCAGAACATTCTTCCTTATCATTTGACTCTGAATCTTGGGAACACTAACAAAGCAATTTTTTTTTTTCCCTAATAGATGATATCATTTATATGCTAGCTTCTCTCACACATGTCAGATATGACTAAATATATGTGGGCTTCTATACAACCATGATGTTTTGGAAAAGAGAATATAAATAAATAAAAATTTAAAGTAGTATTTCAATAACATTCTGTGTCATTACAAAGTACATGTCCAGTATAGCTTAATTAGAGGTAATATTCATATTTCTATTTAGCTATTTACATATGCTTCCACTTGAAATTAAAACATCCCAAAAGTTAAAAAGAAGAGTTTTCTCCATCAAAAGCTATCAATACAGTATTGCAAATTATTGGATGTGAATAATAATAAATTTCTTGGAGTGTAATTTAGAAATTCCAAAGGGCCTGACCTCTATATAATAGGAACTTTTTTTTTTTTTTACTAGTCTCATCACCATCTTGAGCCAAGCTATCAAGAACAGGAAGATGGAGTCTGACATCTGTTACATCATTCTCAGAAAGCTTTCTAAGAGTTTTGAAATCCTGTCCCTGCCATTCAAGCTCTCCTTTAAAAAAGGCACAAAAATACTTCTCTCAGTGACTCCCCACCATTAAAATATGTCACTTCAGCTCTAGTTGGAGTATTTACATTTTCACTTCTGTGCTTCCATAAAAATCACTGGAAGAGACCATTCCTCTTCAATTACATAGATCTTTTCCGTTAGACATAATTCACTTTGTCCCTCCATTCACCACAAATTCTTCCCTGATCACATTTTTCAAGATAGGTTTCAAGATTAAACATATTTGAGAAATGCTTTCTTTAACAAAATAAGCATCATCTTTTTTTCCCCTTTTTATTGTGAAAACTTTTAATATGCTTTAATATGACAGTGTTTCTCTCAAAGGGAGGTATAATGTCCCTATTTTTTAATCACATAATCTTAGGTGATAGCATTTATTTTCCTAGGGAAACACTTTGGGAAACTGTGCTTTAGCTTTTTTGGGTCTACAGAATCACTATCTTTTATCTCACTTACAACTACTCAATTACACAATGTGTAATTGAACAACACATATATTGTGAACATAGGAACCCACAAAGTACTAATGTAGATTCTCAGGCCTCATAATCAAAGAACCTACCTCGATTTACTCAGCTGGTATAACAGCTCTAATAAATACCAGAGCCATTCTTAAGTAGATTGAGAACAATATTTTGAAACAATAATTTTTGAGGCCATATTATGTACCAGGTACTCCTTAGAACTGGGAACACAGAGGTAAACAGATACAATTTTTGCCTTTAAAGATCTCTCAGTGAATACAATATAGGTAGAAAAAAATGAAAAAAAAGTATAATGATAAAACTACTTTACTACGGAGGCACAAAAGAAGGAATGATAATTTTACCTAGATCAAAGAAAGCATGAAAGAAATATTGTGCTCCCTAATAGTTCTTTGAACATAAATCTTATATTCATAGCTACCTTACAAAGGTATGAATAATCCTTATCTCTTTCAGATTTTAGAACAAAATATAACTTAATTGAAGATTTTATTGCTATAACAAATCTTAAAGATCATTAGCCTAGGACCTTCATTTTACTGATAAACGGAGACCATATAAGATTATGTGTGTTGTCACAGTCTGTTATGATAGTGATACAGTTGGAACAAGGGCTCAGGTCTCTAGATTTATAGACTACCTTTTTCTCTAAGCAGCACTATGCAGAGCCTTCAGGAAATGAGTTCTAGAAACAGACTAATCAGGTTCAAATTTCGGGTTGACCTATTACTAGCTGTGTGAATGTGGCCAATTTAACCTCTCTGAGCCTGTGTTTACTCACATGTTGAAAAGAATAATAATAGTTCCTCCTCATAAGATCATCATGAGGATTAGATGATGGAATACAGGAAACAAATTTAGAGCATTGGTAAACATGGTATAAGAGTTTAGCAAATATTAGCTATTATTTTTTATCTGTACTAGGTATGTATTATATATTTCATATATATCTGTCCACTCCCTCTATATATATTGGTTTAGTAATACTCACCTAATAGGTGACCTGTTGCATCTGAATTGTGCATATAATTTTATATAATTTGTCTCTATTTTGTGTTTTATCACGATTTGTCCTTTTAAGTACTCATCAACCAAAAGAAGATTATGAAAAGATTCTATTACATTGAAGAAAAATATAATTTAACTCTTTTCAGGTATGTATGAATCTTCATAGACACAGGATTGCTCTTTCCTTATGAATACCTACCTTCTGATGGTTAAGCTTTAATGGTTTAATTTTCCATACTTAAGCCCCTTTACCAGACATTTTTTCCAAGTTTTCCAGTAAGACTGTACCAGACATTCTGATAATTTTAACATCTGAAATCCAACTTCTTAAAAACTATTTAAGTACAAAATTTTCTATAAATGGTCAAAGCTGAAAAATGAAAACTTCATTGAAAATGTCAAAAGGGGAGTTCCAAATTTCATCCGTATTATATGTAATGTTTACCTAGGATCACATCTGAAAAACCTCAGCCCTAAATGGTACCTACTCTGTAAGTTATAACAAAGTGTGAACAAAGAAAACAATGGCTGCTGTAACCATAACAATAGGCTTCTGTGGTTCCTAAGGATGTTTTTTATAGTTTAATATAATATGCTCCATTTCTTTAAAAAATTAAAATAGAATTCTGCTGTTTTTACTATTTTTTTCCTGAATTCAGGAGATAGATATTTCTTCCAACAGCAATTATTTCTAATTTTAAATTATAATTAATTTTTGATGTTCATTTCCTGTATGTTTTTGACTAAATATGGAAATATAGGTTTAAAAATTGGTAGAGAAAGGATTTTTTTAGTGCAACTGTTTGTTTTAATAGAATATTTCTATTTCCCCACAGAAATCAGAAACTGAGTTTTTATTCCTAGCATGCCTTTCATTCCCTCATAACAAAAGTTCCCTTATGACCTTTCTCCTTGAAACATGCAGGTTATTTACATACTGATGTATTGGTTTGGGCAATGATGCAGGTACAATGTCCCTGTAGCTATAACCCTATTCGCTGTGTATATCCAGTTACCCATTTATTATTTCCTTCTGCAGTGAGTTTAACAATCTCTGTGTTTGGTACAACCAGTGATTAAACCAAGCCTTCTTTTGAAAAGAATTCACTTTCTAGATGGAGAGATATACATTTGTACTAATAATAATCATATGTATATCTGAAACTAATATAATATTTTATGTCAATTATACCTCAAAAAATAAAAATTAAAAAAAATAAAAAGTCATGCAATGGTATGTGTTCAATATGTAGGGACTTCTTAGGCACAGCTGGGGAATGTTTCACAGAGGAAGCGATTATTCATGCTGTTGCTGGAAAAATGGGAAGTTATTCAAACTTGAGGAAAATCAGAAGGGCATTCTAGGAAGAAAGAATGACATATGGAAGATACAGAAACATAAAATGTGTCTTTTTCAAATATATTTGCATTATCATTTTCTGTATTGGCAATAGTGGATAAAATACTGAGTTATATATGAGTCTTTCAATATATTTTCATTAAAATATATTTATAATTCAAAATAGCACCTAGTATTATTTTCTTACAGTATTGCTAACAGACTACTAGAAAAGAAATCCAAAGAAAAATATTCTTAATAATAAAGCATGCTTGTAATGATTGTATTTTTTCCAAAATACTCACATCTACATTTAAAATCTTGTAAAAAGGCTATTTATTAAAATGGAAGAAACTATAGTAGTTTTGTCTTTATATAAGTTTGTTTTCTTATCTCTGTTTGCATGGTTCCTGAAAAACACGATCATGATCCAGTATCATTTTGTTACTGAAAATTCTAATGTGATATAATAGGAAAAGTAAAGGACCAAAGCTTGAGAATTAGGTTAAATCCTCAATTTAGTATCTTACTACCTATATGATCCTGAGAGAATCACTAGGCCAATTTGAGGTTGAATGTTCTTTTCTGTACTTTAAGGATAATAGCTAGAATAATAATGTTTTTCTCACAGACTCAGAAAAACAGTACAAGCAACTAAAGTGATAAATGCAGACACAGTTTTCAAATTCATAGAATTCTAGAGAAGTGGCTAGGGATCTTCATTATCATTGTTATTACATGGGAACTCCAATCCCAGTAGGTTTACACACTGATCATCTCCCTTTCTTATCTCTGCCACTTTCCTGTATTCCTCATATTCTAGGGAAATCTTCCTCTATTAACCTGTTTGCCTGAACCAGAAATCTTATAAGGTTTGTTTTGTTGTTGTTATTTTGATCCCTAGGTCTTTCTCTGCTCTGTAAAGTGGACTGGTATCAAAGTTTCACAAATGTGCAAACTTAAATTGTCCCAAACGTGAGTTCTTTCAGTTCCTTGAATGTGCCATGCTCTTCTATGCATCTTTGCTTTCCCACAGAGCTTGTTCTTTTTGCCTGCTCTGAAGTGCACCACATCTTCTGGCTAATTCTTACTCTACCCATCTTGTCCAGGAAGTGGACTCTGAATCTAGTTAAGATAGAAACATTTTCTATTTTTTTTCTATTTTAATAAGTTACTGCATTGTATTGTAATTATTTACTCATCTGCCTATCCACTGAACTGTGAAATACCTAGAGATAGGACTATGCCATTTAATTTTTTGCTGCTACTTAGAACAGGGACAGATAGACACTAAATGCTAAAGAAATTTGAGTTGAATTAATGAATGAGTAGATTAATCTTCTATTAAACAGTAATATTACACATTCACTTTATTGTCTGTCATAATGGTCTTTTGCTATGTGATTACCTGAAATAATATTAATCATCCAAAAAAGTAAATTATGCTCAGTCTGGCTTTAACATTATATTTCCTATTCTACTTTAAAATGCATATATATATATATTCTGCATAAATGACAACTTTTATAAACACTGATAAATAATATTAATTGCCCCCAACTTATGATAAATTACAGCAGCATTTCCCAAACTAAACCAGATAACAGAACGATTAGGATAATTGGATCTCAGCTGAATTTAAATGTAACAAACAGGAAGGTGATCAATCTGTCTACTTGATCGACTTATCATTCTTAGTAGCCACCATATGAAATTGATATTGTGACAATTGGGATACTATCATTAAAAGACAGAAAAGACCTCTAAGCTACCTCCTAAAAGTTTAGTTGCTTCATTATATTAGTCCAGTGATCTTTATCCTCCTTTACACAAACGATTCCCTTATCCTTCACTAAATATCAGGACAGAAATTACTCTCCTTAAGGAAATGGGGGGTCAGTCATGATGGCCAATTCAAAACATATGTAAACAGCGATGTTAATCTAATGTAGAAATATTCAAGGGCATTTTTATCACATAATCTTATAATTTAGGATGATTTTTTAAAGCAGGATTACACAGTATTTTAGACAGTTATGAAATTTTCACCCTGAAGTGCATCTCATACAAACTAAAATCCCAATTTGCCCTATTGTCTCACTCCGGGGAAGGAGAAAAACAGCAGGTACAAAATGGTGTCATTAAATTTTATCTGATAAAATAGGTGGCTTTAATTGTTACATAAAAAGATCTGATTTTTATCTTTTTTTCCATATCTATATCATAATAAAATATTATCCAAAATTGCAATCAAGGGAGTCTTTCATAATATTTACAGTAATTTAGTACTTCACTATTTTAACTGACACTTTTGATGGATGGGTTTATGTTAATGATAACTTAAGGCTACTTTCAGTTTACAGGGTAATAATACCTATAACCCAGGAGAAATAAAACTTAAAGCTAAGCTCAGCTGTGTTCACTAGGCAAAGACACAGTTTTTGCTTTATAACTAATAAATTCCACAATACTATTATGATCTACAGGTAATGCTTGTTTGTTTAATATGAAGCATCTTGGAGAGTATAAAATGAGAAGCTAAGCCAACCATATTGGTTTTGAAGAAAAGGACAATGGTTTGAACACACTAAAATAAATATCATCTGATAAAATACTGAAGTAATTAAAATATTCACATTCTTATGAATGAATGATGACAATAGTCAAACTTAGTACAACTGGCCATTATTTCCTGAGACATATTAAAAACAAACTCTCTTGTGACTCTGTTTCAATTAAAATGGAATTGACACTCTTTTGAATCTTCTGTTGCTTTGGTAAGGAAAATACTTTAAAAGGTAACAAAATGGTTACATAATTATATAGCAAAAACCTAAAAGTTGTACATTACTTTGGAAACAGAAGAGTATTTACAGTATAAGTCTCCTCCTATTAGGTACTGCTTTTACCCAAAATAAAGTTTAAAATTAAGCTATAAAATATACAGTGATATGATCACATTGCCAATTATAAACATAAGGGAAGAAAAAAAAACAGTTGTAACACATTAGCAAGAAACGATTGCTAGTTGTTGTATATGATATGATAAAAGCAGTGATTTCATGAGACATATTAAGTGAAATTAGTGTATACAGCAGAAAATTTAGAGCACTACTGTTATCATGACACTTGTTACTGTGAATGTGTCCTATTTTAAAGAATCACATTTTCTCTGAATTTGTTCTTTTAACAAGCACGTTGAGAAGGTTGAACTTCTACAGAGATCATTTTGGAGTATGTAATCACTTTAAATTATAGTGGGAGAAAAAAAAAAAAGGAAAGGCATGCCTTCTCTACCAAAACAGCACAATTAAAAGTGAATGATAATGGTCATAGTCTACAGAACTTTAGCAGCCACATATCTGACTTTGACTCCTAAATTCCGACACCTTATTGTGTGTTCTTCCCTCATCTGGAATCTCCAGCCTGCTGTCCTTAACCCCTACAATGACTTGTTCTCATTTCTTAAAACGAAATGCAACTCAAACACAGCTCCAATATGAATCTTGCTCAGTATTTCCATTTTGCTATCCCTTTGGAATGCATGGATAATGTACTTGTTATTTATTATTCATGGACAATACTTATGTCTCTTGCCCTAAAGTGGTACAGGAATTATATCATCTGTATTCATGATCAACCACAATCGCTTCTTTTCCTCCAAGATTTAAAGGCATTGAAATTAGAGAAATCTGCACATTTTATTTATTTCCACTACATTTATAGATTACTTAGAAAAACAGTTGCATTTAAAACTTTTAAAGGGGTGCCTGGGTGGCTCAGTGGGTTAAGCCTCTGCCTTCGGCTCAGGTCATGGTCTCAGGGTCCTGGGATCGAGCTCCACATCGGGCTCTCTGCTCAGCAGAGAGCCTGCTTCCCTTCCTCTGTCTCTCTGCCTGCCTCTCTGCCTACTTGTGATCTCTGTCTGTCAAATAACTAAATAAAATCTTTAAAAAAAAAAATACTTGCTGCAAAATCTCATCATTTTAAATGTTTTTCTTTTTCACTGTGGTAGTCACATTCCTATTTTTGACTTCCCAGTAAGAATGTCTACACATTACACTTCATCTTGGTTTTCATGTTAAAACCTACAGAATGGGATTTACCGCATTGAATGTAATCCACAATTTCTATCTTTAATTTAAGATTGTCAATGTTTGTTACAAACCCAGCTTGAGGATCCAAAGACAGGTCCCGGGGGAATTTCAGCCTTTTGCTAACAAGTATAGTAGGATATAAACCGTTGAGTTTGGATACTTCAATGATCCTCTTTTCTGTGTCAGACCAATAGAGGTTTTTTCCAATCCAATCGACAGCAAGTGCATTGGGGACAGCTGTGTTATGCACTACCTAACAAGATAAGAATTTAAAAGTTAACAATGTAAAAACCTAGTTTAAGAACTGAGCAACTGCTTTTTGATTTTTACAGAGATAATAGAATTCTACTTAAACATTAGAAATAGAATCTAGATAAACATAAAACATAGAACACATTTACCCTAATAAAATTACTTACTCATTTGTGATGCAAGGAATTACAATATCTGTAATCAGGCCCCTAAATATGACATATGGAGTTATGAAGTAAACACCAAAATAAAAAACTGTTGGACAGCTACAAATTTGTTGATGACATTATTGTTATAGTTTACAGTCTTCTGAAAACTGGGGGGAGAAATTCTATCACACACAAAGACACATGCACAGAATTATTGATATTATTTACTTTTAACAGGTTTTGGAGGAGATACCAATGGCATTCTCTACTTTCCTAACTGCTCCTGCCTTGCCCTATTTAAATTATCTACTACAACAAGAGGAAAAAAAAATACAAGCGAGAACATACCTTATTTCAACCTAAACAAAGGAAGTGAAATTCATATGACTGCTGCACTTCATTCTAACCCATGTCAATATCAGTTATAATAAGGATATAAACTTTGTATGTATAAACATGATGCATATAAAATAACCAAAGATTCTGTGTAACTGCTATTTCTGAGTTCTCAATGATTTGAGGATTATGTGAAAGGAGAAACTGAAATTTGGGGCTATACAGCAGTCAATGGTTATATATTAGAAAAAAGAAATATAGTTATTCTTTCCCTAATGTTGTCAGTAGTAAAGATAACAAATAGCATTTTCAGAAATTAATGGTATCAATCTACTGTATTGAATTAAAGATATCTTTTCTTCTTTCTCCCAAATTCTACCTTTAAAAAAATTGGCATGGCTGACAATTTACATGAAAATCAGTGAATTAGTTATCTCAATAGAAATATGATTCATTTTGTGACCCTATGTTATGACATGATTTAAGGTCCTAATGTGCTAGTAGTCCCAAGGCAGTAGATAATTAATCCTTTAAAATATTAAAAGATATTAAAAATATAAAAGAAAGCAAAAATTTAAATGTAAAAAAATATGATCAAGTTTGAGTGATGGTACTTTTACAATTTCTTTATAAATAGTCAAAGAATTAAAAAAGACAAAATTCATCTGTTTCTTTGTTCTATAAATAAACTGGTATTTCATTTAAAATTATCAGTTTATACATAAATATATAAAGTTTCTATTTAAATACAATCACACTGGTTGTCTTGGTATTGTATATACATATTTCAAGATTTTATTAATATTTTCAAAAATGATTGTTTCCACTAATAATTTCTGTATGATATTAGAGACGGTTACAAAAAAAGTTGAAGTAATTGATAGGTTCTATGTACTTGAATTTAAATGTCTTTATAATATATTTTACTTCATATAGGCAGCAAAAATTATTTTATTTTTTCATATAATTTTATTTTAAAACACAAGGTAACACAGTGCTCACTTCAGCAGAACACAAAACTCAAGATAATTCAGAAATAGTGCCAAGTAGCTTATATCTAGAATGTGACATATATTTAATTATGATGCTGTCTGATCAGAACATTCATGATTTTACAGAAATGCAGTCAATTATTTCCGTGTATTGAAGGTTAATTTTAATAGAGCTATAATTTCAATCTAGAGTCTAGTAATTAATTTTTTCAGTTATAGATTCTCAGACTCAACTTTCCCTTTTATATAAATCAACACAATTGCAGGTCAGGCACTAATCATTCAAGCCAAAAGCATCCCTCACGTTTTGTAGGGTTGTGAATAAAGTTCCGAATTTTATTTTCCCAATTTGATTTCTATCTTATCGCAAGAAGTAGTGTTATAATGAAACATATGGATTAAAAAGCCTCATATTTCATATTTAAAGTATGTATTAACACTGTACAAATGTGAAATTCAGATCAACCTAATACATTCTATGAGTTGTATTATTACCATGAAATAGTATTTTCTATTCAAGTCAGATATACCAATAAAATATCCAATAATCCCATCACTGTAACATGTAGTTACCTTAAGGTCAGTTCCGTTTAAACACATTCTATTTATGCGGCTGCCATTGGGTCGGCTAGAATCAATCCAATAGATGAATTCTTCTCTGTAATCAAAATCTATAGCAATAACATTGTTTAATCCCTAAAAATAAAAAAGGATATGTTTGAATAATAGTTTATAGAAATTATTTTAAAATGTTTTGTTTTAGTTCATAAGAATCACTATCTTCCTTAAACCTAAATAGTTATAGTTATTACAATGAAGAGCACTTGTGACCAATTCTTTTTAAAAGCACATTATGTTTATATCTTCTCTGTACCATACACTTAACATGTTGCATAATTCATTTGAAAATACTTTCCATGCGGGTCACAAAAATTTTGGACTACTTATAGGTAAAGATTTAAGTAAATAGCCAGTACTGTGAGTGGAAAAAAAAATCTGCTTTTAGGGAGATAAAGTGAAAGACTCTCACTTTAGGTTAATGTTAAAAAGTATGAATTTAATGTCATTATTATCTGTTGTGTAGAATAACCAGAAAAGAGAGTACATCTAAATTGGAAAGGCCAAAGATCCCTGAAGATTGAAGATGAGCCCTGGATAGCCATCTGATCAGTCAGAAGAGAAAGTTTAGAATTGACTTTGTCCAAAATCATTTGTCTCAACAAGATAAATCAGCTGCCTCATTTTGTTTCTTCCTGCTTCCAAGGGCCCTTCAGCCAAGAGAGTGCCATGTCAGAATTTAAAACTTATAATCTTAGGAGAGTTGTCAGTATCTGACTAAAGAGGAACTGGGTGGTCAACATCTTTTTATTCCACATAGAAAGAGTAGGGAATGCCTGCCTTTAGACTCCTGTCTTTTTTAGAAGGTAGCAAAACTGAACACGAATCCAACTGATAGGTTTCTGGATACCACAGTTCTATGGTGTGGTGAGTGTGCCTTTTGACAGATTTGATTTGAGAATTGTACATCAGAATCTGGAAATCTTTTTTAGGTGCTGAATTATTAAAATGATTTTGAGGGATTAATTTAATTCTGACCTTTCATCAGGGCTCATAGATTTACTACGCCAATGGACTAACAAAACTTGGATCAGGATTTCCATTGTGTTAACTCATTTTTAAGGCTTGGATAGTTATTAATACATGAATTTTATGTATTAAAATAATTGACACTATAGATATTTGGCAAAGCCCTAGAGAGCCATATCTTTATATCTGTTGTACACTTGCTTATATCTACAGTCAACCTAAAATTATAATTAAGACTCAAATTATTTTGGGGTCATTTATAAGTAGCTATCATCCTATGAGTAAGGATTAGCACCTTCAGGAAGATGAGCTATTTTGTTTTGTTGGAGGGGGAGGGAAAGGAAGGATGATAATTACCACATCTGGTAATTTCCACATCTGTTCCCCAAATCAGTTTCCAGATCTATTCCCCAAATTCAAAAGCAGATATAATGACCCTGCATTAGATTTATATACTCTTTTATAAGACTCAGGTCAAGGCTAAATTATTACTGTTCATATTTTACTTCTTTCTAACGGTCTAGAAGACTGAGGATGGCTGAGTTATAGAAGCAATTCAGAGAAGGTTCTGGCAAATGTGGATTTTTTTTTCTCTCAGCAGGGCTGAATTCTAGTGGTAATGACATTAAAATTATAGTTTCAAGCCTTATGTTTTTATTTGGCTTAACATGAGCAATCTCCTTCCTCTGCCCCAGATTACAAAGTTAACCTGAAACAGCCTGACAGTTTGGACCTGCCTGCCATTGGTCATAAGTAAGAGACGTAAGGACACATGATAGTGTCTAAATTCCTCACTACACCCAGGTGAATAAACACAAGTATATTTCTTACTGATATTACTAATCAAAAATAACGACCATTAATGCTTAAAAAATCAATCACAGAAAGAAAAGGTTTGTTAAATATTCATTCACAAGCTAAAACCTGGAGGACTCCTTAACAATGCGCTTCAGCATACATATCTGGAAAGTGGTCTATGAAGTTTTAAAATATAAATTGAGTATATTCCAAGTTCTGTACAGAGTTTAATAAATTCACTCTAATAGTAGTTTTCTACAGCTTTACCCTTAATCCCCACAGAAAAGTTTGCAATTCTCTCTTTGCAGAATCATATGCAAGGAACATTAAAACAGCCAAGGGTATGGTCAAAATAATGTCTAAACACTAGAGTCATCCCAGTGGTTTTAGAGCTGAAAATTGGTTTCATCAAAATCCTATTTGCTTCTTTCATTTCTATAGCTGAAGATTTGCACCCTTTGGTTCAAGATGATTAATTTAGGAAATTGTGTTTTGTTTCCCAATGCAATTTTACTGGAGTAAAAACCACTGCTAGGATTGAATTGGATAACACTGGAAAACCACTTGATTAATGCTCTTAAATTAATCAAATTAATACTTGATTAATGCATTTTACTTCCAAAATCCATGTTATTACAGTACATTTTCTTTATGCATGTGGTATATGAATTTAAGTTATAGCTGGCCGAGCTACCACTATGTTTTAGAATACGTAGAGTAAAAAAATAATCTACCAGTTGTTATCATTTTTCACTGTAATGCTTCATGAGATTGTACAGACTACAACAGAGAGAATAAAATTCAAGATATTATGGTAATTGTTCTTCTTAATCACCTACACACACACACACACCAAAAAAACCCTCCCAAACTTAAGGCAAGATGTCTTTTCACTTATTTTGACTGAGAGAAATATGGGGAGATAATTACTTCCGTTTTTTACTTCATTCAGCACATGTAGTCAGAAATCTCTGAGGGAAAAAAAAAAAACCAAAAACCTGTTTCTACTGCTTAGAACTCCTTGAAAATTCCTATAATGCTCTAATGAATTGTAGTTTAAAATATCACCCCTGACAGAAATGATATATTCCAAACAGACTGCAGGCAAAACTGGATGTAAGGGTTCTGTCTGGCTTTTTGTGTGTCTATTTCCTTGCTCAGTGGTCACATTAATAAATGCTTTCCAAATACACAGATGTTCAGAGTCCTCATGAGCTTCCTCTTTTTTCTCACTCCCCCATCATTTCCATAAACACTACACGAAGAAAACCATCTGATAGTCACCCCCACTTAGGTACTAGTGAATGACAATAGTTGAAAACGATATCAGGAAAGAAGTTCTATCTGAACATGTATATTAAAGAAATCTGGGTATATGAAAGAGACTTAAATGATGCATACAGAAAAAAATCATTTTGCTCCATTAAGAACAATCTCTGGTAACATGTTATCCATGAAAAGACAAAAGGGACACTGGCAGAAATGTCTTGAGTCACAGCATTGGAAAATAAAGCAAGGAGATGTCACTGAAGCTCTGTTATGGTCTTCATGAAGTCAATAAATACTGTTGTTATTTTAGTTATTAGTTCAACTGAGCTTATACACAGAGTGTTCTAAAGAAAGAACTTTCTCCTTTTCTGATAGCAGAATCTAAAAGGAAGAAATGCTAAACAAACAAACAAAAACAATCCAGTAAAGAGAAAATAAGCATGTCCTTTTTCCAGATATCATATGAGGAAATCAGTGGCTGGCACATTCAACTTTAAAGGTGTAGAGAGGCTTAGAGGGGATATAGAGACTTACTCCAAAAGAAAAAGATTATTTTCAGGACTTTGTAACTTTGTTATAAGCTTAAAATTAGGCTGCATAGAAAAAAAGAATTAAGTTAAATAATGTAGAAAGCCATTTGGGCTGCAAACATTTTTCACATTTATATATGCTAAAACTTTTTCTCTGGAATTGTTTCCTAGATTATATATATATATATAAAATTGTTTCCTAGATATATATAATTATTATTCTTATTTTATGCATCTCTTAAAGAGACAGTGGCTTAATTCTTATATTTTAAATAGATTTCTGTTTAGTTTTTATAAACAACATGAAAATATTTTACATTTTTCCCAGTCTCCGCAGGGTTCACAATGAGAAATTCTTCTCTCTAATGATACAGTGAATGTTGGCGGCACACTCTAATCTCAAGAGCAAGAATCTAAACCTCACAGACATTCATGAACAAGTATATGCGTGATGAGTGCACAGGAAGTCTGACGACTCCAGTGAATTGGAGAGTGTTGGCCCCTACATCAAAGTGTCAACTGCTACAGGGTTTGGATTGTGGACATTCAAGGATGTGAGCCCAGTACTGCTCTACCTTTCTATTTATTTTCAGAAGTAGCCTGAAATCTAGATTTTTATGTGAACGTTTCATCTTCAATCTGTAACTTACAGGAAAACCGGAAAATCCAACTGTCAGGGAGAGTCAGTGTCCCATTGCTAATGAATATTTTCACTTAAAATGAAACTAAATTCTTAAGAGAAATGAATGAAACTGGCAATGGCAATGGAGGAATCCGTCAGTTGGTGACAAAAATAGTTGTAGTTAAGTAAGTTTTCCTTATGCTGAAAAATCACCACATGAATGGCCTTCTTTGCCTATGCCTAATGCTGGCACAAACATATAAGAACAAGAAATGTCCCTTTTTTCTTTCTTTCTTTCTTTTCTTTTTTTTTTTTTTTTTTTGGCACACTTGTTCTAGACAGAGCTTTCACATATTTATGTCACTATTATGTGGTCTGGGGCAAAAAGACATTTGTAGCAAAACATATACCAACTGAACCTTCCCAAAGAAACTATTTCTCCTGACAACTAAAAATATGGTATACTTAACTGCATATGATTTGTCTAGTCCATGCAGTAAGCACTGTAGTTTTAGTGACTTGATTTTATGCTATTTTCACTGCAGACTGTGAGAAATAAAAGTTGAGGTGAGCAATTCAGAGTTTTCTATCCTGTCCTAAAATGGAAATCATACCTTTTTATCTCAAATAAATTTACTTACTTTATAAGTAAACTCTGACCATAGAACTTAAACATCAAAACGTATCAACCTAGACTCTCTTGGAGTGGATACCTTGAGGGATGAAGAGGGTAAGACTGAAAATATATGCCTTACAACCTTTGAACCATGGTTGGATTACCATTACATTTTTGCTCCCTTGCTAATTCTAAATTTTAAAAGCTAGAGATCACCAATCCTACTTTATTTCTTAGTTCTACAAACAGAAACATAAAATTCTTGAAAAGGCATTCATTTTTAAATCCCAAGGGGTAAAGCCAATTTGGGTAACATAAAAAAGACTTTAAAGATAATTTTATGCTTTTTCTAATCTAGCTTTTCTTGAGACAGTTTTCCCTTCCATTAATTATACCTTACTTTCGTTGTCTTTTTAGTTTGTTTATTTGTTCATTTGTTTTTTTTTGTTTTTTTGTTTTTTTTTTTACTTTCTTAGATATGGTGTGATGTAACATGTTGGGAACATCACCTGGACAATTCAAATAAAATAAAATCTATGGTAATCTTATATATATATATATATATATATATATATATATATATGCATGTGTCCATAAGTAAGTGCTTCATAAATTTTAATTGTGAGATATTTCTATAATTCTAGTGCATATCTGGAGTACCCATATTAAACATGAAATCATTATGACAATGTCATACCTGTTTCAAAAGTGTATAGTTGGAGCCATCAGTGCTAATTTTCCTTATTTCATGATGATCAGCCAGAATTAGAAAAGGTTCTTCATCTAAATACCAAGACAAAATGTAATTAAAATTTCATATGTATGGTTTTCAACTTTGCTTAGTTTCAATTTCAGTTTTTGCAGCATTACAAATTTAAATTCAGTGCCTTCTGGTAGACTAATGGTTAAAAAAATTCACACCGAGAATTTCAATTGATAATAAAATGAAAAGATAGCAGATACCCAGGCAGTATGGAAGATCCAGATAATTCTAAATGCATCCCTCTCTTCCCTTCAATTTTCATGAACAGCAGATTATCTAATTTATTCAGAATTGGTGGAAAATATCTGCTGTCATAATCCGATTTTTTAATGAGTTTCAGGAAATAATACACTACATCTATTTTAGAGCTTACAGTACATTTAATTCATATAATCAGAAAAGTCATTCTTGATAATCAAATAAACAGCTTATTTTGTCAGAATGACTTTGGTGAAGATCAAGAGTATCACTGCCTATCTATCTATCTATCTATGTATTTATCTATATATGTATATATATTTTTTAAATCTGCCTGGAGACTTCCCTTAGATACTTTGGGAACTCTGGATTCTATAATTTTTGTTTATTAATTTTACCTTTCCCTATAATCTGGCTTTTTAAGCCCTTTAATGGTCAACAATGGTCTTTATTTCCTTCTCATAGTTTGTCTAATATGTTTATGTTGTAGTATCTCATTTGTTGTAGTATGCTATAGTATCTCGTTTGCTCTAGAATCTAGGATAGATAATAGTAAGAATCTGACCATGCTCCAAATATATGAAGATTCTCTAAAACTTTAGATCAGTTTTCTTTTAAAACTGATTTTTTGGGAAACAAAATGGATTTTTATTTTGTTTTTTAAAGATTTATTTATTTATTCTAGAGAGAGAGAGGGATATAAAGAATCTTTGCTGAGTGGTGGAGCCTGACAGGAGGCTCAATCTAACAACTCTGAGATCACAACCTGAGCCCAAACCAAGAGTCAGATGCTTCACTGAGTGCATCACCCAGGTGTCTACACCCACAAACTGGATTTGTAAATAAAAAATATTAAGATAGTTTGTATAGCACATTTATATGAATACATATCTGAATAATTTAAACTCAAATTGACCACATCCTTGATTGTTATAATCCTGGGTCAGTTCAATCAAAGTTTTATTCAAACTCTTTTTAAACAGCTTTGTTTCTAAGATAAAGTCATAAATGTAGTCCCTGATAAGCAAATTTAGTGTCAGGAGAAATTAGGAAAAAAAAAATGCAATGAAAATGGTAGTCACTTTATGTAATTTAATATGGATTTTATTATGAATCATTTGTTGTTATAGAGTTATTGTCCTGTTTGTTAAATTTATGTTAAAAATTATTACATTCCTCTTTTTATCTTTTAGTTTCACAGTAAATATATAATGCATAGGGTGTTATATTATATTTTAGCATACTTTACATGCCAGGGGTTAGAAATGTGTGCCACACATCCTGGACACTTTCCATTAGCAAGGGCAGCACCCCCAATCATTCAGTCTTTGTGTTGATGGTAAATTGAGACTCTGAACCCTACTAAAGGGAGTCAGCTGTGGAGTTGAAGGTGCCTTGCCATCTCTTGTCAACTATATTTATAAATATGAAATTGGTCAGTTATGGTCTACCTTAATACTTAGGCAGTTATGTTCTTTACTGCTCAAATGTAATACCTGAAATTATAAAACTCTTAGAAGAAAACATTGAGAAAAGTCTCCATTAAGTTCTTGGAAATGATTATTTTAGGTACAACACAAAAAGCCACAAGTAATAAAAGCAAAAATAAGCAGAAATATATCAAACTAAAAAGCTGTGCACAGCAAAAGAAATAACAGAGATAGAAGGCAACCTATGGAATGGGAGAAAATATTTGAAAATTATATATTTGATAAGATGTTAATATTAGGGTCAATATTGAACATATACAAAGAGCTCATACAAATCAATAAAAAAATAAAATTGATTTAAAAAGGGGCAGAGGAGGGCCACCTGGGTGGCTCCGTCTGTTAAGCATCTGACTCTTGATTTTGGCTCATGAGGTCATGATTTCAGGGTTGTGTTGGGCTCTAAGCTGGGCATGGAGCCTTCTTAAGATTCTCTATCTCCCTCTCTTTCGAACCCTCCCTCTCTCTGAGGGGGGAGAATAAATAAACAAATAAATAAATAAAAAGAAGCAGAGGATCTGAATAGACATTTTTCCAAAGAAGACATACAAATGGCCCACAAGTACATGAAAAGATGCTCAACATCAGTAATCATCAGGGAGATGCAAATTAAAACCGTAATGAGATATCACCTTACACCTATTAGAATAGCTATCACCAAAAAAACTTGAGATAACCAGTGTTGGCAAGGATGTGAGAAAAGGGAACCTTTGTCCATTATTGGTAGGAATGTAAATCCACTATAGAAAACAGTATGGAGGTTTCTAAAGAAGGTAAAAATAGAACTAACAAATGACCCAAGAATCTCGCTGCTGGTTATTTAGCCAAAGGAACTGAAAACAGGGTAACAAAGATATATCTACATTCCCATGTTAATGACAGCATTATTCACAACACTCAAGACATGGAAACAACCTAAGTGTCCATCAACAGTTGAATAAAGAGGATGTGACATATACACACATATGTGTAAATATGTTTATATGTATAAATATCTGTATTCAAATGCATCTTTATTTATATATTTGTATTTACACATATGCATATTATATCACATGCAATGCATGCATAATATATTAGTATATATTAAATATTTTTTATATCACAGGCATATGTAATATTATACAGACTTAAACACAATGGAATATTATTTAGTCATGACAAAGAATATAATCCTGCCATGTACAATAACTTGGATGATCCCTGAGGACATTAAACCAAGTGAAATAAGTCAGAGAAAAACAAATATTATGTGAGATCACTTATACATCGAATCTCAACAATAACAAACTCATAGAAACAGACAGTAAATGGTGTTTACCAGGGATGAGGGGTAAGGGAAATGGGGAGATGTTGGTTAAAAAGTACAAACTTTCAGTTAGAAGACAAGTAAAACCTGAGAATAAAAGGCACAGCCTGATGATTATAGATAATAATACTACATACTTAAAAGTTGCTAAGAGAGTAGAGCTTAAATGCTTTTGCCAGAAAAAAGAAATGGTAATTAGGTGAAGTGATGGAAGTGTTCATAATACTATGGTGGCAATGATATTGCAGTATATAAGTGTATCAAATCAATGCATTATATAATTTAAAGTTACATAGCATTAAAAAATTAAAAATAAAGTTATATAGTTTTATGTCAACTCTATCTCAGTAAAGTTGGAATCTATCCTCTCTTTAGCAACAGTTTTTGTATTAAACTCTGCCTCAGCAACAGTTTTTGTATTAAAATTATTATTAGTTTCTAATTATTACTGTTAATGAGGAACAGCTACAGCATGGATACATTATATAATAAGACCAAAATTGTAATCATTAGCATTCGTCCCCTTTATACCATCCTTAGCAAAAAGCTTAAAGTAATAAAAACACTGACTGGTTTTGAGATTTTATTTCTTATCCTAAGTCACTGAATGCATGATATACCAAGTAGGTTGGTAAACAAAAAAACAAAAACAAAAACAAACAAACAAACAACAACAGCAAAAAAACAGTCTCCAAATAATACACAAATTGATTCAGTGATGAATATTCCAAGAATAAGTAACTATGAAATAAAAAAAATTTTGAAAGGGCTACTTTTTGTCTCCAAAATGTGCAAAGGTTTAACCAGTTGAAAGCTGATTTTAAGAATTTCTGTCCCTGGAATTTATTTTATGTAAGTAAATAAAATATCTAATGTTTTAAATGGTGTCATGTATATGATATGCATATACATAAGAAACTAGCAATGCTAATTTGATTCATTATACTCAAAATAAGGGGATAAGAGACATATTAGGTGTCATTTTTTGCTCATTTAAACAGTCATTATTTGTTTTATATTGCTTTGTATTATTTTACTATGTGTGATTTTCTCCCCTAATGAATTATAATATTTTTAAAATTATGGTCCATGTTCTATTGAATTTTCTAATTCACAAAATCAAACACACTACTTGGAACAAACAGAAGTTTAATAATGTTCACCGAATCACTGGAAGAATTCAAATAGTCCTATATAGCTGATTTGTTGCTGTTGTTGCCATCATCATTGCCATTACCATTATTGACCTCTTCTCCTTGGCATACATATATGAGTGTGTATGGTATAGGGGAGAAGGAAAAAGTATTATAATAGAGTCACAATAGGCTTTTTGATAGCCTTGGCCAAATTTGCTCCTAAGAACCTGTGATGCAGCAGGAAATAGCTCTTTTTACTTCTGAGGACTCTCAAAATCTAGAAAGCACTTAGTAATTCATAAGACCATAATGCAATTTTATAACAAACACAATAGTTTGTGAACAGCACACAAAATTAGAGTGACAGATTCCTAAATCAAGGTAAGTAGGGAAGAATTTTGATTTCTCACACACAGAAAGGGGGAGTGAATTCAGTAAGAATGGCTATAAAACTCAGAATCCATATGTGTAACTGTGGTTGGATCAGTGGACAAGTTCAGTTCGATACCTGAGAGTGATTTGCAGCCATGTGGGTTATCAGGTTGTATTTCATAGCCATCTGTACAGAGGCACTTGTAGGTCCCATATGTATTGATGCACTGCTGGCTACACGGAAATCCCAAGGAGCATTCATCAATGTCTACACATGTTTTACCATCATCCTTCAGTTGGAATCCAGGCCAGCATTTGCACTGAAGAATGAAAAACATTCATAATCAATTCATATCATTGTCACTGTCCTTTCCTATTGGATATCCCTTTAGCATGATTCAAGAAAGAAAATCATGTAAGAATAGGTAATGGCAAGTCTTTTTGTGTCCAGTGATTTTAATAAGAATTATGTACATTAAGTAAAGCTAAAAAAGAATTCTCCCAAATACCTTCATTTGATCATCTGAGGTTGGCAAAATTAGAAAGATTCACTGACGTCATCAGACCCATGTGGCTCTAGCATGATGATGACTACAGCACCCGTCAACTTCTTTTGTTCTTTTTCTATTACATTAGATTGTCTTTTCAGAGGACTTTAACAATCGTTAAGAATTAACCGTTACATGGACCTCTGAAGATCACTAACCTTGTTGCATGTGTTATTTTATCAGAGCCTTACAGAAATCTATGATGTGGATATTACTCTTTTTAGTGAACTGATGAGAAACCTAGAGGCACAAAGATGAAGCTGTCTGGATAAAGTCAGGGAGCTGAGACTATCTGTAACACACAGCAAGGCTCAATTAATATTTATCTACTGGGTCTGATTCCATAATCATGTTGATATTGTCTGGAGAAATAAATAACAGTAACAATTTCCCCACTATAAATTAATCAATTTGCATCATCAAATCTTTTCTTCAGCATCTCTATGATGTACTATATGAACCTTTGATGACGATAAGCAATATTGACTAAATGGCATGTAAATTCTGAATACAATGTCACACCATATATGTCTTTGTAGTCCTAAAGAAGTAGCATGCTGTGATCCTGTGATCCATCACTGTCTTTCAGGTCTGTACTCATTTCCTGCCAAGTACTATATGAGGATTGTAATTACACAAAATGAACCTATAATTGGCCAAATGAGTACAATCATATTAACTTTTACAAACACTATTTAGCACTCTTTGAATAAAGGAATGTGCAAATACTGAGTAAGCGAGTTAAAAAGAAACCCTAAATTGTTAAGGGTAACTAGTATTCAAGAGTTACTCAGCGCAAACATATAATAACCTCAGTCATTTATCTGAAGGTAAAGATGATGGCAGAGCTTTGTATCTATTGGGAAAATATTAGAGATATATGTGCGCATTATTAAATAGTCAGCAAACAACTGAGTTTTTTAGGTACCAGATTCATTACTTGGGGAAGAGGCAGCATTATCTTCACCTGAAAGGGCTCTACGGAGAATTAAATACTTTTTATTAAGTTCTTTTATCAGGAATGGGTCCCTTTAAGCTCTCAGCACTTTCATCATTAACAATTTACACCAAAAATTAGCTAATAATCTTTAATATTTTTTTTTGTTTTGCTTTGTTTTGTTTTAATCTCTAGGACCCACTAGCAAGCCAGCAAATCAAAGCAAAAGCCATAGCTTGATTTTCCATACTCTCCTCATCCAACTCTTACTTTATTTGAGAACATTCATCCTGCTACCTGATTTAGGAAGTCAGGACAATTGGTGCTTTGTGATGGCAAAAGAAAGCAAGATGCTTAATGTCACCTAAGTGTACACTTAAAAATGGTTAAAATGGTAAATTTTATGTCAGGCATATTTTACCACAATTTTTAAAAGAAGTAAGTTTTTAAAAGAAAGTGAGAAAATGACAGGATACAAAAAGTTATCACTGAAAAGCAGTGGAAAATAAGTCATGCGGTCATGAGGTTGGGAAACCAGAGAGCCATAGTCTGACATAGGACAGTGTTGAATTCAAAGGACACTTTAAGGACAAGTGAAAGGAATTTTAATAGACTGTACTGAATTCTTCTCAAAGAGTATTATAAAAGGAAATAAACAGTGTCCTGGTTTTAATGGGATTTCTGGAAATCACTTTGAATGGCTAATGTGAGGCTTATAGAACTATTATATCAAAGAGACAGCTTAGATAAAAAACATATTTATGGAAAATCAATTTCTTAAAGTAAAATTGGTAGAAGTTACCAAATGTAATATACATTTCTATAAACAAATAAAATTAGAATGTTTAAGGTTATCAGTAGCTTTTAAAATAATTATTTATTGAAATAGAAGATTTTTTAAAAGATAACCAACAAAAACATTTTTTTGTTCCTAAATAACCCAAAGGCCTCAGTGGGAAATCCTACTAGTCTAACTTTCATAAGTTGAATGGAAGAAACTAATAATTATTTGCATTTTCAAAGATAAAAAAGGAGAGATTCACCTACATTTAATAGAAAATAAATTTAAAAAATTTTCACCTTCATTTATAAAGAAAAACAATCTTTATGAAACTGAGATTTATATATATTCAATACATCTTAATATTTCTCATCATTAAGAACAGCTTCAAATTGTCCTGATTTGTATTAAGTTTTATATAAGGTCCTACAGCTACTAGAAAGAAATACAGGTACTCAAACTTTTCCTGTTGCATTCAGAGAAGTTTCTTGGCGGGTTTTTAAGTGATATTTGGCAAATATTATTTTATTCCTAATATATATACATTAAAACTAATTTCTCTCCCAGAGGTACATTTATTTTTACATGGTAAATTATACTTTACATCAAAATAACATCCTTGCTTTATTTAAGTAAATGTTATTACTCCCTCTTGAATAGTTAGATACATTATATTTATTTTGTAACAAACGTGCAAATTGTTCACAGTCCGTAAGATCTACATCTTGCTTTTGTAAGCAATTTTCATTTTATTGCAGATTTTGGAGGAGGATTTCTTTTTTTTTTTTTTCTTTTTCTTTTTTTTCTTTTTTTTTTATTGGAGAGAGAGCAAGCACAGGCAGACAGAATGGCAGGCAGAGGCAGAGGGAGAAGCAGGCTCCCTGATGAGCAAGGAGCCCGATGTGGGACTCGATCCCAGGACGCTGGGATCATGACCTGAGCCGAAGGCAGCTGCTTAACCAACTGAGCCACCCAGGCGTCCCTGGAGGAGGATTTCTTGTCATGTTCTACAGATATCATGAGAAATAGTTTATTGGGGATGCCTGGGTGGCTCAGTTGGTTGGACGACTGCTTTCGGCTCAGGTCATGATCCCGGAGTGACGGGATCCAGTCCCACATCGGGCTCCCAGCTCCGCAGGGAGTCTGCTTCTCCCTCTGACCTTCTCCTCGCTCATGCTCTCTCTCACTGCCTCTCTCTCTCAAATAAGTAAAATATTAAAAAAAAAAAAAAAGAAATAGGTTATTGGATGGTTTTCCCCATTCAATGGAGAGAAAAACTCACAAACTGAATCCTCCCCCCAAAAATATAGATACCTTTTGTTGTATAGAAGGCTTTTTACTCAATTTCTTATCAACAAATTATCATGAATATAGATATGTGTGTGTGTGTGTGTGTGTGTGTAAAATTTCAGCACAATATGTAAAATATTTGGATTGAAATTTTATTTAAATCTCTCACTTATGATTCTAGTCTTAGCTACTTGAATTTTTATATTGCTCTTGTTTCCCTAATAGATGCTTTATTTTATTCATTAGTTTTGACATGTGTACATATTCAAGAACACTATTCATATCAATTCTGTCAGGTATACATATAGACTTTCTGAATGATTAAATATGTTGTCTATTTTAATTAGAATTCTCACTTCATTCTATGACTCCTTTCTGAGAAGTTAAGGTGAAAACACTGATTTTAAAAAAAATTATCAATAAATAAGTATTTCTGTGTAACATGTCCTATAAAGTAATTAAAACAGATTTAACATGGCATTCTGGATGATACCTATTTCTACCATAGTCGTTTTCTAAACATGGCATTTCTTAGCACGAGGTACTTCTTATATGCAGGCATTCTATTGCATTTTATTTTTTCATTTTAATTTTTAAAGATTTATTTATTTATTTTAGAGAGAGAGAGAAAGAGAGAGAGAATGGGGGGAGTAACAGAGGGAGAGGGAGAGAGAGAATCCTTGAGCAGACTCCTTGCTGAGCACAGAGCCCGATGTGGTGTTCCATTCCAGTACCCTGAGATCATGACCTGAGCTAAAATCAGGAGTTGGATGCATAACCAACTGAACTACCCAGGCACCCCACATGAAACCATTTAAAAAGTATTACACTTCATTCTGCATGTTACGTCAAAAAGTGACCACCTTATATTCTATAATTTTTAGATTTCACCAATGTTGTTACAACAGATTTAAATACATTCAGGATAAGCATAAAGAGCTCTACTTTGAAATTAATATCTTTAGGTAGATAGGCAGATACAGATTCTATGATATATACATTCTTTATTTCATATTATATGCACAGGTCTAAAGAACTATTTCTAAACTGGGAACTGTAATTAAACTAATTATCTCTAATAATTCTATGACACACTCCCTAATTTTTCAGGAAACACATCTATTTTGATTGTGCCTAAGTCACTGGTAATACTTTTTCTGCTTCATTGGGTTTCAAAATATTTACTGCCAAAATTAATTACTTGATACATATTCATCTCATTAAGAGTTATTTTGGCTCATTTGTCTTGTTTCTTTTTACCTACAATACAACACTTGTGAGTACATGTGTGTTTTAAGTATGTAATTTTAACCAAATCTTAATACAGTATTTGGACAATTTTTTTTTGAACAAATATAGTTTTCTTAACGTTTCACTTTTTATCTCTGTTTTTGCAGAGGGAAAAATAATCATGGTAGTTCTCTGGTTAAATTTATACACAATAATATCCTATCAATGTAGTTAAGTTAATCATAATACCAGAAATTCAGAGATTCCAAATGGCAAAGTGGTTGTTTGGCTAAATTTACCACTAGATAGGACTGGCTTGCCATAGAATGTTAAAGTTGGCTGGGGAAAAGGTACAATACCTCTGCAACACCGAAATATTTTCTCTAGCATGCTTTAAAGAAAGCCATTTAGTAATTGAACACTACATCAAAAACTAATGGTGTACTATATGTTGGCTAACTGAACATAAAAAAAAAAAGACATTTAGCTACAATTTAACCCTTTTAGTAATGAGAAATGAGGCAGCTCATTCCAATGCAAAGAGAGTACTTTAGAACACTTTTCCTCATATTGAACAGAATCCGCTTCCCAACTCATAATTCCAACCTTGGAAGTAACTCAGACTAGGTCTGTTCCCTAATCCAGTATTTCATATATTTGAATTCAGTTAATAAGCTGTCTTTGCTCCAGGCAAAACTTCTTCCAATGGCGTGTGTCCCAGACTCCTTATGCTTCTGGATGCATAAATTTGTATACACTACAATTTGTCAAGGTTCCTCTTAAAATGCCATGTCCATTAATGCACATAGTATTCCAGGTGTTAACTGCCCAGTGCAGAACACAGTAGAATAAAATCTAATCTCGGTAATGGTCTTAACTGGCATTAGACTGCCTCTGTGTTTTGTAGGAGCACATCCGATTGCTAATTCACACAGAGCTATTGCTCAGTTAAAAACACTGACTTTCAAATGAATTGCTCTTCCTGAGATTTTCCCACACTTACATAAGCAGTGTTAACCTAATGCACAGCTTTCATTTAATATTATGCTCATTTGCATCCTCCATTCCAACATAATGAAACAGGAATGCTTTCAAAAGCTATTCCTGTCAATCAATGTTGTCAGTGAATCACACTCTTCAAGAAAATAGTGCTAACAAAAAGCAATTAGGATATTAGGCATGATTTATTTTTAGTGTACCTGCACTCAGTCCTAATAATTGATGAATTCTATTTTTTCTTCCTGTTTATATGAATAATATCATATTATCCAGTGTTGTGGTAAATAATTAGCCCATTTCACTTCAAAGATGGGAGGAAGAATGAGGGAAGGAATGGGAACTTAAGAGTTGCATACATATTTGTGTGCTATTAACATGGCAATATCTCCCTAAACACTGGTTTTCCCTTGCTTTATTTTCTCTTTTATATTTAGCATATATTGAAAAACACTTTGACATTTTTGTCTTTCTGAGTACATTTTTACAGTTTTTATATCACATTATTATTATGAATTGCTTGTATAGATACTTTTCATTTAAGTAGTTTTACTTAAAGACATCATGATGCATTCTAAGTATTATAGCCATATCTGATTGAATGGTATTCATTATCACAAATCCAATGTATCATGTGATTTACTATTTTTGATGAGTACCTACCTTATAACTGACTGGAAGGTCCTGACAATCTTGAGAACATCCACTGACTTTCTTACTCAAACATTCATTTATGTGGCAGTTTCTCTCATCTGAGCCATCGCCACAGTCATCCTTATTGTCACAAAGACCTCCACTGGGAATGCACCTGCCATTTTTGCACATAAAAAATGAACTGTTGCATGACTGTTCTGGAAAAAAAAAATAAAAACAAATGGAACATAAAGAGCATGCCATTGCTTTATACTACAATTGCTGAAAACATTCACAAATGTGATAACTTATCTGTCAAAAATTATAGTGAATATATATATACATATAAAATCCTCTGTAGTATAGTATTTTATACATAAAATATAAAAAAAATCAAGGGCAAACTGTACTTTCATGTTCAACACTTACTGAAAATCTTCTTTTGCCATTGAAATTAGCAACCAAAATAAGCACCTATAGTAAAATTAATGAAGTATTTCTGTCTTCATCTGTATTGTAAAGAATTAATTCAAAAGTATAATGATAGTTTGACATTTTCCTCAAGCCATAGGTCTCTGAGAAATTATATGTCACTAAAAATTACGAATCTAGAATAGGTAGATATTCCTAAATTCTTTTTCTTCTTGGAAATATAACACTGACATTTTTAAGTCAGGGCATAAAAAGGACATTTGTGGTGAATAATAGTTGTTCCAAATATAGCTATGGAAAACGAGTTTAGGTTTTGCAGCTACTCATAACCTGATGACTTGAACATTACTCATTATCATACATGATAAAAGAAAGCCTATTAGCATGTAAAGTACATGAGAGAAAGGTAATTAGGTTTATTTTAAATATATGACTATGTATTCAGTCTCTAGAATAGTGAAATGATAAATAGACCAAGTATAGGTATGTATATATTTCTGTTTAAATGATATGCAATATACTTCATTTTGCCCAAGTATTACTGATACAGGCTTTCTCTCAGTAAATCTCAACTTATTTTGTTTGAGTTTTCAAATAGGTCCATATAAAGAAATTATTTTCACATAAAATTAAGTATTAAGAAAAATGGCTTTTTTGAAGAGGTCAAGATGATGGATTCATTAGGTTCACTGCCCAAAATCTTCATATTTTAGCACAGATTTAAATTTCTAAAACTTGCTGCAAAACAGAGTTGATTACTAGGATCTTTCATGGTGTCACTTGTAACATCACACACTTAATTATTTGCATTTCTTTTCATTGAATATCATACTAGACTGAAGTGAAAATCAGAGTCACAGTTTTGTCATTGAAAACCAATTTGGGAATAAGTATAATATTATATATATTTTTGTACCTGCACTTTTGCACTTTGGATTTAAAGGTGCTTCATCAGAATGATCAGGGCAATCAAAGTCTCCATCACACTGCCATTGAGTATTTAAGAGACATCGTCCATCAGCACAACTAAATTCTTCTGCATTGCACTGTCGGTATCCTAGAGACAAAGAAATAAACATTCTAATTCATGTAACAAATATTAAATCTGCATTCCCTAACATTCACTATACCTAATTAACAATGGGAGTTACCCATATCTCCTACGGGAAATGTTTCTTATTCCTTTAAGGGACAGTGGTCATACTTGCAAGAAATATTTGTGGTTGAGAAGTAGGATTAAGGCCTAGGAAATAAAATAAAAAACAAGGCAATCTTATTGCTTCTGGAAGAGGAAACAAAATGCAATACTCAAGGATACTATCTCTGTTCCCCTATTATCTATATCCTAAAGAATTCCCTTTGAATAGAAAACAAGAAAAAAGCAGAGCACCTGGGTGGCTCAGTCACTTAAGCAGCTGCCTTCGGCTCAGGTCATGATCTCAGGGTACTGGGATCAAGTCCCACATCAGGCTCCCTCTCCCTCTGCTTGCCTCTCTGCCTACTTGTGCTCTCTAGCTCTCTGTCAAATAAATAAATAAATAAATTTTTTTAAAAAAAGAAAACAAGAATAAAGCTCTTAATGTTTTTCAAGACTAAGCTTGGTTAGGTACAGTACCAGAACATATGGATGAAGTGATTCCAAGTTATAATGATAATTCTCAGAAGCTGTAATGCCGTGTTTATGTTTGGAAGCAGCATTGAAAGCGTAAAGACATTGTTAAAATGAAAAAAAAAAAAGCCAATTTATAAAGCAATAAGCACAGAACTATTATAATTATCCTATGTATTGATACTTAGAGGCATTAAAAAGCTTTATTCAAATCACAGTACCAACCCGTCAATTTTTAATGATCATATCTATGCCTGTTTGTAAGTAAAACTCATTTGATTTTGACTATTATGAGTTTTAGATTGAATTTTTGCTAAGTTTGTTAACAATAAAACTGTCATTTCTATTAGCAACTTTCGGGTAAATCTGGTAAATATTCTACTTTTGAAGAGAGGGAATAAGATCTGCATGTTAATTAACAAATAAAATTCCAATCAAAAATAATTCAACAATGATTATATAATTGAGATTTTTATCATACTGAATAGCAAAACTACAAAGTTCTAAAGTACCTACAGTTTCGCCAGTCTTTCTTCCTCTCTGCCCTGCACTAGTTCATTCTCAGTCAAGAGGTACATTACATTCAAGTTTCTCCCAGCCCAGTAACAATAAAAATCCATCTGGGGTGCCTGGGTAGCTCAGTCACTTAAGCTGCCTATTCTTGATTTTGGCTCAACTCATGAACTCAGGATTCTGTATCAAACACCTCTCGGCCCGCCTCGCCCACCCGCGTAGGGCTCCATGCTCAGCAGGGAGAGTCTGCTTAAGGATTCTCTCTCTCACTCCTCCCTTCCCCCTGCTCATGTGCCCCCCCCCTCTCTCTCTCTGTGTCTCTCGCTCACTCTCTCTCTAATAAATAAAAATCTTTAGAAAGAAAACAAAAAACCAACCACATAACTCTTAACTACACATGATTCTCCTTCCATACAACCCTACCCAGCATTCCCTTATTTATCTCCAGTTCATCCTCAAATCATTCACATTCATTTCTACAACTTCTACCTTCTGAAATTCCTCTCAGAGCTAACAAATACCAAGTGACAAGCATCAAATTCAAAGGAGCCTCGGACTCCTATTTCACTTTCCTGTAGCATTTGATGTTGTTGAGCCCACTAGCTTGTAAATAACTGCCTGGTTTAATTTTTACAACTCGCTCCCGTGGCATCTGTCTTATTTTGTTTCTGTTGTTCCCTTGTATCCTTCCTTCTGTATGAAGAAGGCATCTCCTGTTTCATCCTAAAATATTGTGGGTGAAGCCCCAACTTCAATCTTCAGCCTATTGTTCTCCTCTTTTCCTTTCTACAGTGTTAGGTGTTCTCCTTTTTTGTCATTTTTGAATATCAGCTTTATGCCTATGGTCACCAAATTAATCTTATTTGTCCTGATCATACTTCTGGTCTCTAGAATTAAATTTTCAAACACTCACTGTATAGCTTCATGTTGATTATCTGATTAACACTCATATTCAAAACATCCAAAATTAATTCTTTTTAAAATTTCTCTTCTCCTACACCAGCAAAACGTGGCCCTTAACCTCCCATGTTCCAAATCTCATTAATGATGTTAACACCATCCACCAAGTGATCCAACCTGGAAACTTTCCTTTATCCTCCACATCTGACTGTAAATGAATTCTGACCCATTCTGTTCTTTCCATTCCAACATTTCTGCCCTGGCTTCCCATCACCTCATTAATCAACATAACTATTGCAATAATCTTTTATCTAGCTTATTTTCACCTAATGGCTCCCCTCTCCCAGGGCAATATTTCATCCACTCTGCTGAAAAAGATGGGTCTGAAACATATTTTGACTGTGGCATTCTCAGTTTCAAAGGTGTGTTGGCAACTGAGAGCTAAAATAATTAACTACAAATTCTTTACACTGTATTTCAGACTTTTTAGAATCCAGTTTCAACTTTCTAATTTCAATTTACCTCACAAAAGACAAATTGCTATTCTTCACTGATGTGAATTTGTAGGCATTTGTAGACATACATAGAACTTTCTATGTGTCCAGAACTGTTCTAAGCACTTCACAAATATTAATTCATTTAATTCTCTTAACAGCTCTAAGAGTTAAAATGTTACTATATATATTTTTTACAGATGAGGAATTTAGGGACAGAAAGGTGAAATAACTTCAAAGGTCACACAGATAGTAAGCAGTAGAGCCAGGATCTAAACCCAGGCCATCTGCCTCCAGGGTCTGTGCTTTTAACCATTGTGTCATTTTATCTACCATCTAAATATGACTTTCTTTAACATTCCCTACTTCTGTTCTTTAGTGCTTCAAAAATTATTCTCTCAGCTCTGATCCCATCTATTGTGATTCTTAGTCCCATCTGACAATGTGTGCTATTATTCTATTTGATTTTCCTGTTTGTCTGCAAATTCTTCTAGTGGGATCTCTATCTCATTCATCTCCATATCAACTGAATAAGTGTCTAGCAGAGGGAAGATATTCAATCAGATATAACTCTACTTCAGATTTACATCTTGAGTTATGATGTACCTTGTAAAATATCACACTGAATCCATGACTTTATGGTGAGATGAGCATAAAACATGGTATCCACTGATTTCAAAGAGATTACTATCAAAGACCAAGGCTGTAGACACAACACAGGAAGGACAACAGAGGGCACTAAATCGACTGCCTTTTATGATTATATATGGATTTTATGGCTTTTCATTTTATATTTATTCATGTATGCATTTAAGGATTTTGAGGTTTTTTAACAAAAAATGCTAGGTTCATGTAAGACTTCAATTTCAACTAGGAATTTTTAATGATTTTCACTACAAAAGTTACATATGTATTTGCATATACATTACACAGGTGATGGTCAGATAAATATATATGCAATGACAAGATACATTTCATCATAATAAAACTTAATTTTAACAAATAAGTGCACATGTAAACCGTTAAGGTGAAAGAAAAATGTTAAGTATGCAGTTTCTCTGATAATTGTGAATTCTCTTAACTTTTTTCCTCACTCAAATATTTGATTTGGCTAAAAGAATGTACTAGGTAGCCATATATTGTCTTTAAAGTTTAAAGTAGTTTCAATCAAAGATATTTTTCTAACCATTTCCCCATGTGGTTCCTAATAAGAACACACCACAAGTAGGCATGCTCTTCAAATCAATGTGTAACTATGCTAGAATGTAAAGAGGTTATTGTGATACTTCTATGAATAACTATGTTAACATGCCCTTAATGACATTATGAGTTATCTTCATCATTTATTTCTATATTTCTTTTTTTTTTAAAGATTTTATTTATTTATTTGAGAGAGTGAGAGAGAGAACAGAGGGAGAGTGAGAATAAGAAGCAGACTCTCCCTGAGCAGAGAGCCTGATGCTTAACTGGTTAAGCCACCCAGGCGTCCCTATTTCTATATTTCTTGAGTTATCTTAAAAGACCACTACTCAGCCTGAGAATCTCTTGCATGAAAAGTCCGTATATACTTACCACACTGCAGTGACTCATCAGAGCCATCTCCACAGTCATCATCATGGTCACAGACAAATTGCTTGGGGATACACACTTTATTATGACACATGAAAGCATTTTCATCACATGTATTATTGGGGGCTAAGAAAGATATCACAAAGAATAAAGTTAGATGAGTACCTATTTTATCTTCTCCCACCTGAAGAGTTTAGGGGATGTATGCTGTTATTCTCAATAATTCATAGTTATTTAGAGAAAGAAAAGTTTGCCCAATATTCCATTCATAATATATATGACCATATATATAAATTCATAATATATGTTAACATACATATATTTATATATGAAATATATGAATGTAATTCAAAGTTTCAGTAGTAATACAGTCAACAATTCCACAGTGACCCTGAAATTTCAGGCCCCTTAGCAATTTGTCAGTTTGCTGAAGGATGAATTAAAAAAAAAATCACTCAACTGTAATAATGTGGCTGGGTTTTTTCCTCTCTTCATGTCTGTAGTAATACCAGTAAAGTGATTAAAAAAAAACAAAACAAAAACAAACAAACAAAAAAAAACCACCTTGCTTCTTTGTGAAAACTGAAACTGAAAAGACTACCAAGTGCTAATAATGGTCATGATGGAAGTGAAAAGAAAACATCAAAAAAGCTAAGAAAGTTATTACCTCTAAAATGAAAATAAAGCTTTTGGGTTAAATAAAATCTATGGTGTGATAAGCCCAAGCATTAAGTATCACATAAAATTTGAAATACCTATGCACAAAATGGAATATCCATTCTTTTGGAATCCTGATCCATGACAGTAGTGCTGTAGCAAGGATCCTAAGCAAGTTGGAAAGTGTTTGACCAAAAAATACAATTGCTTTCAGCAAAAGTTCAGAAGCTGGTAACTTATGCAGAGTGAATAAACTTTAATATGCATAGAATCAGTAATGTTTTGAAGAGATCATTTTTAAATATTTTCAATTACCTTGTCATATATTTAAAGGATAAATGCTCTGTTAGGACTCAAGATTTGGGATATTTCGAATGTAAAAATAATCAGCTATATAATAGATGGTAACTAAACTTACTGTGGTAATCACTGCATAATATTACATATAACATCATTATGTTGTACACCTAAAACTAATACAATGTTATACATCAATTACATCTCATTTTTAAGTAAAATAAAAAATAATCTGATATATGCCATTATAGTACACCAGAAAGAGGAAGATTTTGCAAAAAGTCACTTTGCTATTTATGATTTGTATCCTGAGGAAGGTATTTACCTTCCTGTTGCATGTTTCTTTATCCATTTAATGGGATAATAAAATCTATCAGAGAAATTTCTTGGAAGAACGGGATAAGATATTTGAAGCAGATCAGCTCATTTCAGGTACTCAAAAAATTCCTAGGTGTTATTTAAATTCTTATCTATGTATCAATTATTTTTGGCAGATCCTAAAAACATTTCACCGAGATACTGGAGGAATTCAATAATGTAAATAAAAGCACCTACCAAAATAATTGGCATATAATGAACACTTGAAAAAGTTTACAGGCCTTCAACCTCCTCCTTCCATGTCCTACTATGGACTTCCCTTTACCTAGAACACCTTTCTCTTTCTTCTCTTTGTTCAATATGACTCAGATGTTACTACGGTTTCTTGAAATCCTTCCATGACACTTCTACTCTTTTTTATATATTATTTCTTTGTGATGACCCAGTATCTTTTCTATACTTTGTTCTGACACTTAGAGGATAATGATTTTTTTTTTACAAGTCTCTCAGCTAAGGAAGATACGGTCCATATATACTGTGGAGTATTATGCCTCCATCAGAAAGGATGAATACCCAACTTTTGTATCAACATGGATGGGACTGGAGGAGATTATGCTGAGTGAAATAAATCAAGCAGAGACAGTCAATTATTATATGGTTTCGCCTATTTGTGGAGCATAATGAATAACATGGAGGACATGGGGAGATGGAGAAGAGAAGGGAGTTGGGGGAAATTGGAGGGGGAGATGAACCATGAGAAACTGTGGACTCTGAGAAGCAATCTGAGGGTTTTGGAGGGGAGAGGGGTGGGAGATTGGGTGAGCCTGGTGTTGGGTATTATGGAGGGCATGTATTGCATGGAGCACTGGGTGTGGTGCATAAACAATGATTCTGGAACACTGAAAAGAAATTTAAAAAAGAAATTAAAAAAAAAAAAAAAAAAAAAACAAGTCTATCATCTCCCTAGCCCCAGACTTCCCCATATTCCAAAAAGGAAATCTCTGCTTTAAAGTTAACAATGACAAGAATGGAGACATGAGTAAGCAAAACAGAAATGATTCTTTGGATTTAATCAAGTATAATTTATTTTCAACAAAATTATTTTCAAAAATGATGTGGAAGCCATGTTGGAAGAGCTTTAAAAACTGCCCATTATTATCAAAGTAAAATGCAATTACTACTAATTCCTCTAACTTTGAACTGTATGACAGCTTACATAACTCAAAGTGAATTATGCCAGTTCTAACAGATGAATTATTTTTTAAAACATAAGCAACAGAGGCTTATTTGGCATTAACGCTTTCAGGTCACTTGAGTACAATTTGTTGTATTTTAGCATAATTTACTTAATAGCACCCATGTGGTCCAATAGTGCTAATATGCCTCTCAGAGTGTTAACTTGCTACAATAGCAACAGTATACTGGGACCATCTGGATCCCTGAATTGATGCATAATCCTTTATTATGTAGCCCTCAGTAGCCCCATTGACCTTTACAGACACATATATCAGTCTCAAGATCAAAGTGAATTATTCTACTCTAGCATAAGTTCTGTGGACATAGGCCTGCCTCAAAGTTTTCTTTTTTCTCCTCCATGTTAACTATGCTCCAACTCCCATATACATACCCACATACACATACACCTCCATTATGGCTTCAAATACAGTTTTAAAGACCTGAAGACAGGTCATTGGAGATATGACTGGCAGAATTCACTTTAATGAGAAGAATTCATAGCACTGTTTCTGATAAATTGCTCCCCTCAACAGATACCCTAAGTGACCTTGGGACCTGCATTCAAATATTCAGCTCCTTCATTTTCTTGATCATGCAAAGGAAATTTATCTAAATTTTTACTATTGAGCAATTCGGTGAAAACTTCCTGAGGTGACCAAGAGTCAGAAACTTAATAAATCATCTGACCTCCAAAGGTGTCCACCGGATATCCTAGCTTCATTCAGCTATATCCATACTATTTTTACCTGACCTAAGGGTTAATACCCTCTCCATAGGACTAGTAGGTGTTTACTGACCTTCTGATCAGTGGTTATTTGGGATCACAACAGCCATTTATAGAGTGTCTGTAATAGGCAATCTAAAAGACTTTGTGGGGGTGGCGGTGGGGGTTTAAAAAGAAAATAACAAATCTACCACAGTCACACACATACATCAGGCAGCTACATAATCTCAGAAGTGAAATGATGAATCTGTGTTCATCAGAAGGGTTTTTAAATGGGTGGTCTCACTCTGCATGTTTGAAAAACTGAACAGCAGTTGGTTAGAGGGATCGCTGAACTACCAAGATGACAACATCCCACGTGATTAAGTCTGGGTACTATTTTACGAGTCCAGGGATTGGGAAAGTGAGAGAAAATGTGATATGGTAAGTACTGTGAAAGGAAGAGTCTGAGGAAACTGTGTCAGCTTTCCTTCATACAGAGCCCTACAGTGTCCTACCGCAGCCAGCTGTGGAGAGCTCATCACTTCCATTTGGACAGTCCCTTTCACCATCACAAAGCCAGTGTCGCGGCACACAGGCATGGGATCCCTGGCAGCTGAACATGTCGACCGCGCAGGTGGTAGCACCTGAAAGCCAACGAGAGAATGCCATTAAGATGATTGCATGTCTTCTGGGAAAGATCTAACATTTCTATTTACCTTAGAAAGAAAGTAAACAGAAGAATGTTGCTGACGAGGAAGAGACTGTTGGTATTTGAAATCATCACATAGTATCCTTCTCCTATAGATGTTTACACAGTTCCTCTCAGAAATCATGCCTTCCTAAGTGCAAGTATTTTATTTCTTAAGGCTACATTGCAGAAAATAATAAAGATCTTTTCTCCCTACAAAATGTAGCAAGGCATACAAATGCCATAGAATTGTGAAAAAACTATGATAAAATTTCTAAAAGACTGAACCCATAGGATAATAATAATAATAATAGTGTTTTTATTGCTTAATATATGCTAGGCACTTAATATATTAACTCATTTAATTCTTGCAAGAATTCCAACCAGTAGAACTATTATTGGTCTCATTTCACTGAAAGGAAACTGAGGCTCAGAGAAGTGGAAAAGCTTTCAGAACGTCACAAGTTGTGCTGGATGACACATGTTCAGCTGGGAGTTCAAAACCCTTCGGATTGCTGAGCACCTTCTCTCGACTGCTAATGTCATGACTGTTACTCCCTACCTTGTGTTGTTGAAAAGAATTAATGTATGCATGTTCCTTTTGTTTTTACACACTTAATAAATAAAATCTACTTTTTCTCTGCTCTGTCAAATCAGTGTCCCTTTAGATGCATGATTTTTTTCAAACGTACACAGAAAAAAAAAATGCTTGCTGACTTTGATTATATGCTCAAAGGATCATAGGTGATTTCTTTGTTTCACCTTATATGGGTATAGAGCAATCGTATGAAATAGAACATAATTATTTCTCATGATGTTTTCCTAGCATCTAGTACAGTTATACATATTGAATTCTTTATTTACTTATATAAAATATTTGTTGAGTGAATCAGTTAGATACCCCTCAAATCATGTTCTAACTTTTCTTTGACTCCATTTTCCCGTGAGCAAAAGCTATCCATAGAATAGATGTTAATTTTTAGAATTATTTTTTTAAATGCTAATATCTACAGGAAGAAAATATAACTGAATAGAATGAGAGATATTAGGTTTCAAACATTTAAAACAGTGACCAAAATGCTTTAATTATAGAACAATTATCACCTTTCTTTTCAGCTATAGAGTTGTTATGAGCAGATCATGCTTTTCAATGCAATGCTTTCAAAAGGGGGGAGCAAGGTGCTAAAATAAGACCCTCTGAGGATTTTTTCCATCATAAACATGACTGTCCTTGACATATACTTTAGCTTGGAGGACAGGATGGCAAGTGAATATAGAAAAGTCCTCCAGGTAATTCAGATTTGCTCATTTGATTGAGGATCAGTGCTAATAGAATGGGGTTTAATATGATACCTATTACTGGAAGAAATCATAAAAAAAATCTATTAAATAAGTGTTGCTTTCATTTAAAAATGAATTTACCTGCTATTATGTCTTTAATATCTTCTATAATAAAATCATCTTCCTACAGAATTTATTTTTATACTATTCCTCATTATGATCTATCTTTTTAAGCTTGCCACAAGAATATAAAGTGTCACTTTCACTATTATACTCTCAATTAGTGCTTTAATTTCCATAATATTTTTGTTATTTAGCTTGAGATTTTTAAAAAGTGCATTCTCTGTAGTAAGGAAGTTTTGATACATGTAGACCTCCTTGTCTAGTTTTTTTTTTTTTTATCATCCCCATTTAATCTCAAGGTAGGCATAATAGATATAATATCAATTTGGCTGTTGAGAAATTTAATTCTGTATGACCTTGGAGAAGACTTAAGTGTCTGAGTTTCACTATTTGTAAAATGAGGGGTATGACTAGATAATTACTAAGATACCTCAAGCTATAAAATGGCATAAAGCTCTTTGCAGCTAATTTTCTGGCTCCCTTGATAGTGTTCAACAGCTTCTGTATTAAGAGCATGCCAAAACATCACAGTCAATCAGAAAGAAAATGGGCCAAAGAAAAAACTCATGGCTTCATTCCATGGTTACCCCTGCCATCTGGAAACACATTAACTTCCTCAGGGAAATGAATCCCAAGAAAGGAAGAAGACAAGCTGAAATATTTCTACCAGATCCATCTTGTGCACCTACTCAGATATGATACTTGATTGGTAAGAGTTACTATCCCATTAGAAAGGATTTAATAGATCTGAATTTGGGTCTTAGCTCTGTCATCACTGATTCACTGAGTGACCTCAGGCAATATATTAACTTCTATGAGTTTCTCTTATTTCATCTGTCAAATGATGAGGGTGTACTAGATTATAATTTCCAAAAAGGGACCCTCAGATCCCAAGTCAGAACCACTATTGTGCTTATTAAGAAAGGTTGTACTTACAGTCCATATTAGAATATTTGTAGGTAAAGCTTAGGAATCTTCATTTTTAGCAAACTTCTGAAAAGTATCTTTTGTACACTAAAGATGATAAACACTGAGATAAATTATTTATAAAGTTCCTTCCCAATCCTAGTATATTAGGTTCAGTTCATTGAATGATATTTGGTGTAAAGCAGTCTTTTTTTATGTGTCACCAGCTTGGTAGTTAGCATATGAAATGCAGCCTGTAATTAAATTAAATGGACTGGCTGTTTTTGACAACAGGTAAACATGTCCATTACCATTTTAGTTCTTTTAATAAATTATCAGGACACTGATAGATGTAGATGCAGCAATAACTCTGAAAAATAAAGGAGAGAGCACGAGAAATGGAACAAAAGAGAATAGAAATAAATTCATTTATATTGTATACAACGGTCATGTTAGATGATCACAATAGTTACATAAGGGAGATCTTTTAATACCATCCCAATAGGTAAGGAAAATATAGATGTGGGAGAATTCAACTCTGGTTTCAGAGTCTTTATACCTTCTACTATATTGTGTCCACTCAGAAAGGAAAGGGATATCAACTGAGCCATTTAGTGTCAGGTTAAACTGAAGGTCAAAAAGCTAGATGATTTTAACAACATGGTCAACCCATTGTAAGTAGGTAATTCTTTTGTTAAAATTAAAGAAAGATTATTAAATCTTTCTCTTCAGAAAGAAACAAAGTAGTTAAAAGTGACTGGCCAGACATCTAGTTGATTACTGAGTCCTTTTTCCTTTCAGAGTTTTTTGATAGTGATCTTTCTATATTTATTTGTTGTATAAATAAGTTGTTTCAGCTGTGTGAATAATAAGTAGATTTGGGTGGCTTAAATACAAGAAAATAAATTACCTGCTTTCAGAAGACAGCTTTAATTTTATACTATTTACAGAGAACTTCAGTTTAGCTTGAGTAGTATAAAATCCTACCTACCTGTCTCTGTGGTATTGACCTAAAACAGGCCACCACTACCAAAATTTTAAAAGTGGTGTCAAGTACACTTAACTCTGTACATGCACCTTATTTAGAGAGAAAAGAGAGAAAATAGGATAATAACAGTTATGAAACGGTGCTGATATAATGAGTAAAGGTTTTATGCCTATAAATACAAATATACATGTAGAAATAGATCAGAAAGATAGACCAAGAAGCATATAAATACATTAGTAGAATGCCTGGCTATTTGTAATAAACTTATAAAGATTATCAATTCCTTCTTTTATCCCTTAAAAATTAACTTAATAACTCCATTTAATTTATTTGTTAAATGTTTGTGATTATTTAAAAGCAATTACATTGGCTTTGTAGTTGATATATAGTAGGACACTCAACCTCTAATCCTATAAAGCTGTTTTTTGAAGTACATTTTAAAATTATATACAATAGCCCCCTTTTTACTTCCCATTTAAAATAATTCAATAATAATAATCACTATAATACATTTATACAAACACAAATAGCATTTGTGGTTTGTGGCAATGTAAATCAGTATATTTTGGAGGGTAATTTAGGAATGCATGTCAAAGACCAAGAAAAAATGTTTGATCATTTGATGCAAGTAATCCCAGTCATTGAGATCTAGTCCAAAGAAGTACATGAAAACTAAAAAAATAAAATTTACAAATATATTCATTGTGTGAATATTCAGGAAAATATTTTAAAAACTGAAAGACCGTGTATATAAAAATAATAGGATAATAGGTTGCCATTAAAATATGAAACCAGCTACACAGAAATGTATATATAAATTTAATGTTAAATTTAACAGTTTTATGTATGCTCTAAAATGATAATGGGTATGTATATCATATGCCTAAAAATTGAATGAGAACATAGAAGAACCAACTCACCACAAATACTATCACTTTCATCTAATCCATCCCCGCAATCATCCTCTCCATCACAGATCCAATGTTTAGATATGCATTTTTGTGCAGAACAAGCAAATTGGTTCCAAGAACAAGAAGAATCTAGAAGACAAAAGTGTTTGCTTTAGGTGCAAAAGAAAAAAAAAAATCATTTGAGACCATCTTAGGATAGGTCTGACAGTAAGAAAGTCCTTCCTTAGACTTTGCTAAAATAAATTGTTCTATGATAAAACAACCTGAATTCCTCTTCTCTATGACAGCTTTATAAAATTTTGACAACAGCCTGTGTATTCCCTCTCAGGGTCCAGGTTATGTAACATTTTTCTTCCCACAGAATTCTCACAGGGCTTGACTTTGAGCTACTCATTATACTAGCCACTCTCCCCTAAGTATTTTCTAGGGTGTCATTTAAAAACAAAACAAACAAACACCAAAAAAAAAAAAAAAAAAAAAAAACCACAATATCTGGTGCACAGATAAAAAACATATGTTCCAAGTGTGGTCTGGTCATCCCTTCTAAATCTTAATTGACTTTTGAACAACTAGAGAAAAAAATGCATCCTAGGTAAGATTATAATATGATATATTCACCAGCATATATATTTGTTTTTAGCGATGAGGTGATTAAGGGGATTTTAGCTTGATGACAAGCCACCAGTTTCACACCCATACAAACTAAACACTTAAGAGGTTTTTACTTCTCTTGGGGACACTTAAGTCTGATGAACAACATCTAAATTCATTGGCATGGTGGTTTGTATTCTATTACTACATTATACAATTATCATAGTGTATTCTCTTTAATTCCAAAGTCAAGTTTGTGATTGTTCTCCTCCATCTTCTGCCTGTCCCTCCACTCAGTATATCTATCACCAGGCAACATCCAAAATAAAATCCTTCCAAATTCAAGTGTTCCAAATGTAAATTATAAAAAAAAATAAACACTTCATTTTCAATTATATAAACTATGTTAAAATCTTGCATCTTTATTTAAAATATTCACTTAGGTGACCTGTGATAAAGAGAGAAATGTGGAAAAACTGAAAACTGGAAAAAATGAAACTAACAAAAATACAAACATTTAATGGCTTCCTGTCCAGAAACTAAGAATCTGCATAAACTATTTGTAAAATTTTCTGTTAATCCTGTTCACAATCTGGCTCTAATGTAAAGATATATAGCATCTTAATCAAACAAAATGCACCTTCATATTTCATGATGACATTTACTTTTAGAGGAGTTTGACATTTCATAGAAGATCCATTTTTAATCTTTTTTCTACTTTGTCTATTCACCGTAGTGTATGTTATTTGTGTTAAATGAAAATAGTGAATATAGGCTTTGTTTTCCCTAGGAAATTTCTTTGGCCTAGAAATCATAAAATCCATAAATTCTATAAAATAAATTTTTAAAAATGCTGTCTTGACTTGCCAAGTTAGATGAAATGTACACACACAGAAATTAGGAGGTAGTGGTGAAAGATGAGAGTTTGAGGAAATACAAGTTTAAGTGCTATTTAAAGCTATACATGTAATTAATAGAAACATTTAGAATCATAGTAGTCAATAACAGGTAGGGAGAATATAATGAGTAGTGTGAGCTAAATCCTTATTTTTCATTGCAGAAAGTAAATATATTGGAATTTCATTACTCAGAAAGAAAATGAAGGTTTATCATTTAGACTGACAAAGATAACCAGTAACAGAAGCAGAAAAGGTTAAAAGAAAAGTCAGAGGCAGGAGAGTGTTACTCTCGATTACAAGTTCTTCTGTTCTATTTTAATTTGTCCCATTTTGTGCTACTTAAAAATGAAAATTGTTAAAATCAATTAGCAATATTTTGTATAAAATCCCTATGTAAGAGAACATCAGCATATAAATAATAATATGGTACACAGAACAAAATACGAAGTCTCACCACAATGGAATTCATCAAGTCCATCCTCACAATCTTTCTGACCATCACATATCCAGGTATTCAAAATGCATCTTCCACTAGGACAACCAAAATAATTTTCTTCACATTTGTGTTTGTTTTGAACTGTGATAAAATACAGAATGTAATGTCAAGTAATTTAAATTAATCTTAGACTTCCACACTATAATGTAGACAATAAAACAGTAATTCTCCTTGAACTGAAAGAAATAAAAAATGAGAAAATTTAAATAAAAAGGAGAGCTGACATTCTCTTCAAGAATGTCAAGGTCATGAAAACCAAGGAAAAGCTAAACAAACAAACAAACAAACAACAACAACATGGCACAGAACAGAGGAGACTAGGAAGATATGATAATCAAATCCAATCCAAGATTGGATCCTGGATCTGAAAAAAGCACTAATAGAAAAACTTGTTAAAATCCAAATAATGTGGTATCCTATTAATAGAATTGAAATAATATAACTGAGGTAATTACAAAGTGAATTAGGCCAGGGCCAAATAAATATTTTTGGTAGAAAATATCTGTAATTCCATATTTATAAAAATATGGAATTTTTAACATTGTAATTGTTGGAATTGGAATTTTAAACATTGTAAAAACATTAGTGGATTTTTACTGAGAACATGTGGGCATGGTGTTGTTACTGTCCTATATTCTGAATACATTTTGACTAGGTTTATAGAAGCACTCTCTACTTCAAAAAAAGAGACAACTTACAATAGAATCTCTAAAACTGTTGTACCTTACAGAAATAGCATGAGAATAATAACTATTTGGATATAAAATTATTTTGTAAATTATATATTTTTAGATTGGGGAGAATTGTTATTATTATAACTTCCAAGACTGTATAAAAATATTAGATTTTTCTCTATTGAATGTCATCAGTCCCCTTGCACCTTCAGGTTCACAGTTTTGTAAACCATAGCCAATTTGGAAGCAAATCTTACAGCATATGTCATACTGTAATAATCTATGCACACTATAATAATTACACTATATAATCCATTATAACTCTATTAGGATAACAATCCCATTTTATTTTTTCAAATGTCAACTTTGTAGATTGAAGATGAAAATAAAATTTTTGACAGAATTCACCACTAAACCAAAAAGTCCTGAGTGTGATTTGTGTCTTATTTTTCTTAGGACTAGCCTAGATATAAGCTAAGGTACTTAGACTGACTATTACTGGCTTCCTATCTGGCTGTCTACCTATGTCATCAGTCTACATAAGCTCCCCATCTTCCTTTCCCATTATAATCACAATTCTTTATTAATGTTAAAAGTTAACTTTTAGGGGGGAGGAGTCAAGATGGCGGAGAAGTAGCAGGCTGAGACTACTTCAGGTAGCGGGAGATCAGCTAGATAGCTTATCTAAAGATTGCAAACACCTACAAATCCAACGGGAGATCGAAGAGAAGAAGAACAGCAACTCTAGAAACAGAAAATCAACCACTTTCTGAAAGGTAGGACGGGCGGAGAAGTGAATCCAAAGCGACGGGAAGATAGACCGCGGGGGGAGGGGCCGGCTCCCGGCAAGCGGAGGAGCAACGGAGCACAAAATCGGGACTTTTAAAAGTCTGTTCCGCTGAGGGACATCGCTCCAGAGGCTTAACCGGGGTGAAGCCCACACAGGGTCAGCGTGGCCTCAGGTCCCGCAGGGTCACAGAAGGATCGGGGGCGTCTGAGTGTCGCAGAGCTTACAGGTATTAGAACAGGGAAGCCGGCTACAGAGACAGAGCCGAGGAGTGACTCTCAGCTCGGGGTTACCTTGAACCGGTTGCAGGCTCGGTCAGCTCGGAGCGCGGCCGGAGGCAGGGTGACGGGAGTAAATCGGCGCTGTTCTCTGAGGGCGCACTGAGGAGTGGGGCCCCGGGCTCTTGGCTCCTCCGGGCCGGAGACTGGGAGGCCGCCATCTTCATTCCCGCCCTCCGGAACTCTACGGAAAGCGCTCAGGGAACAAAAGCTCCCGAAAGCAAACCCGAGCGGATTACTCAGACCGGCCCCTGGTAAGGGCGGTGCAACTCCGCCCGGGGCAAAGACACTTGAGAATCACTACAACAGGCCCCTCCCCGAGAAGATCAACAAGAAGCCCAGCCAGGATCAAGTTCACCTACCAAGGAGGACAGTTTCAATACCAAGGAGAGCAGCGTAATTCCAAAGGAGGAGAAAGCAAAGCACGGAAATCATGGCTTTCTCCCCATGATTCTTTAGCCTTGCAGTTAATTTAATTTTTTTTCTTTTTCAATTTATTTTTCTTCTTCTGCTAAATTTTTTTAACTTTTACCCTTTTCTTTCTTAACGTTTTTTAACTAGTTTATCTAATATATATATATTTTTTTCCTTTTTATATATTTTTCTTTATTGGTTTTCTTTTTTTAATTGTTTCTTCCTTTTTTTTTTTCTTCTTCTTCTTCTTTCTGAACCTCTTTTTATCCCCTTTCTCCCCCTCATGATTTGGGATCTCTTCTGATTTGGCTAAAGCATATTTTCCTGGGGTTGTTGCAACCCTTTTAGTATTTTACTTGCTCCTTCATCTACTCTTATCTGGACAAAATGACAAGGCGGAAAAATTCACCACAAAAAAAAGAACAAGAGGCAGTACCAAAGGCTAGGGACCTAATCAATACAGACGTTGGTAATATGTCAGATCTAGAGTTCAGAATGACGATTCTCAAGGTTCTAGCCGGGCTTGAAAAAGGCATGGAAGATATTAGAGAAACCCTCTCGGGAGATATAAAAGCCCTCTCTGGAGAAATAAAAGAACTAAAATCTAACCAAGTTGAAATCAAAAAAGCTATTAATGAGGTGCAATCAAAAATGGAGGCTCTCACTGCTAGGATAAATGAGGCAGAAGAAAGAATTAGTGATATAGAAGACCAAATGACAGAGAATAAAGAAGCTGAGCAAAAGAGGGACAAACAGCTACTGGACCATGAGGGGAGAATTCGAGAGATAAGTGACACCATAAGACAAAACAACATTAGAATAATTGGGATTCCAGAAGAAGAGGAAACAGAGAGGGGAGCAGAAAGTATATTGGAGAGAATTATTGGAGAGAATTTCCCCAATATGACAAAGGGAACAAGCATCAAAATCCAGGAGATTCAGAGAACCCCCCTCAAAATCAATAAGAATAGGTCCACACCCCGTCACCTAATAGTAAAATTTACAAGTCTTAGTGACAAAGAGAAGATCCTGAAAGCAGCCCGGGAAAAGAAGTCTGTAACATACAATGGTAAAAATATTAGATTGGCAGCAGACTTATCCACAGAGACCTGGCAGGCCAGAAAGAGCTGGCATGATATATTCAGAGTACTAAACGAGGAAAACATGCAGCCAAGAATACTATATCCAGCTAGGCTATCATTGAAAATAGAAGGAGAGATTAAAAGCTTCCAGGACAAACAAAAACTGAAAGAATTTGCAAATACCAAACCAGCTCTACAGGAAATATTGAAAGGGGTCCTCTAAGCAAAGAGAGACCCTAAAAGTAGTAGATCAGAAAGGAACAGAGACAATATACAATAACAGTCACCTTACAGGCAATACAATGGCACTAAATTCATATCTCTCGATACTTACCCTGAATGTGAATGGGCTAAATGCCCCAATCAAAAGACACAGGGTATCAGAATGGATAAAAAAACAAAACCCATCTATATGTTGCCTACGAGAAACTCATCTTAAACCCGAAGACACCTCCAGATTTAAAGTGAGGGGGTGGAAAAGAATTTACCATGCTAATGGACATCAGAAAAAAGCAGGAGTGGCAATCCTTATATCAGATCAATTAGATTTTAAGCCAAAGACTATAATAAGAGCTGAGGAAGGACACTATATCATACTCAAAGGAACTGTCCAACAAGAAGATCTAACAATTTTAAATATCTATGCCCCTAACATGGGAGCAGCCAACTATATAAACCAATTAATAACAAAATCAAAGAAACACATCGACAATAATACAATAATCGTAGGGGACTTTAACACTCCCCTCACTGAAATGGACAGATCATCCAAGCAAAAGATCAACAAGGAAATCAAGGCCTTAAATGACACACTGGACCAGATGGACATCACAGATATATTCAGAACATTTCATCCCAAAGCAACAGAATACACATTCTTCTCTAGTGCACATGGAACATTCTCCAGAATAGATCATATTCTCGGTCCTAAATCAGGTCTCAACCGTTATCAAAAGATTGGGATCATTCCCTGCATATTTTCAGACCACAATGCTCTGAAGCTAGAACTCAATCACAAGAGGAAATTTGGAAAGAACCCAAATACATGGAGACTAAACAGCATCCTTCTAAAGAATGAATGGGTCAACCAGGAAATTAAAGAAGAGTTGAAAAAATTCATGGAAACAAATGATAATGAAAACACAACAGTTCAAAATCTGTGGGACACAACAAAGGCAGTCCTGAGAGGAAAATATATAGCGGTACAAGCCTTTCTCAAGAAACAAGAAAGGTCTCAGGTACACAACCTAACCCTACACCTAAAGGAGCTGGAGAAAGAACAAGAAAGAAACCCTAAACCCAGCAGGAGAAGAGAAATCATAAAGATCAGAGCAGAAATCAATGAAATAGAAACCAAAAAAACAATAGAACAAATCAATGAAACTAGGAGCTGGTTCTTTGAAAGAATTAATAAGATCAATAAACCCCTGGCCAGACTTATCAAAAAGAAAAGAGAAAGGACCCAAATAAATAAAATCATGAATGAAAGAGGAGAGATCACAACGAACACCAAAGAAATACAGACAATTATAAGAACATACTATGAGCAACTCTACGCCAACAAATTTGACAATCTGGAAGAAATGGATGCATTCCTAGAGACATATAAACTACCACAACTGAACCAGGAAGAAATAGAAAGCCTGAACAGACCCATAACCAGTAAGGAGATTGAAACAGTCATCAAAAATCTCCAAACAAACAAAAGCCCAGGGCCAGACGGCTTCCCGGGGGAATTCTACCAAACATTTAAAGAAGAACTAATTCCTATTCTCCTGAAACTGTTCCAAAAAATAGAAATGGAAGGAAAACTTCCAAACTCATTTTATGAGGCCAGCATCACCTTGATCCCAAAACCAGACAAGGATCCCATCAAAAAAGAGAACTACAGACCAATATCCTTGATGAACACAGATGCAAAAATTCTCGCCAAAATACTAGCCAATAGGATTCAACAGTACATTAAAAGGATTATTCACCACGACCAAGTGGGATTTATTCCAGGGCTGCAAGGTTGGTTCAACATCTGCAAATCAATCAATGTGATACAACACATTAATAAAAGAAAGAACAAGAACCATATGATACTCTCCATAGATGCTGAAAAAGCATTTGACAAAGTACAGCATCCCTTCCTGATCAAAACTCTTCAAAGTGTAGGGATAGAGGGCACATACCTCAATATTATCAAAGCCATCTATGAAAAACCCACCGCAAATATCATTCTCAATGGAGAAAAACTGAAAGCTTTTCCGCTCAGGTCAGGAACACGGCAGGGATGTCCGTTATCACCACTGCTATTCAACATAGTACTAGAAGTCCTAGCCTCAGCAATCAGACAACAAAAGGAAATTAAAGGCATCCAAATCGGCAAAGAAGAAGTCAAACTATCAGTCTTCGCAGATGATATGATACTATATATGGAAAACCCAAAAGACTCCACTCCAAAACTGCTAGAACTTGTCCAGGAATTCAGTAAAGTGTCAGGATATAAAATCAATGCCCAGAAATCAGTTGCATTTTTCTACACCAACAACAAGACAGAAGAAAGAGACATTAAGGAGTCCATCCCATTTACAATTGCACCCAAAACTATAAGATACCTAGGAATAAATCTAACCAAAGAGACTAAGAATCTATACACAGAAAACTATAAAGTACTCATGAAAGAAATTGAGGAAGACACAAAGAAATGGAAAAATGTTCCATGCTCCTGGATTGGAAGAATAAATATTGTGAAAATGTCTATGCTACCTAAAGCAATCTACACATTTAATGCAATTCCTATCAAAGTACCATCCATTTTTTTCAAAGAAATGGAACAAATAATCCTAAAATTTATATGGAACCAGAAAAGACCTCGAATAGCCAAAGCAATATTGAAAAAGAAAGCCAAAGTTGGTGGCATCACAATTCCAGACTTCAAGCTCTATTACAAAGCTGTCATCATCAAGACAGCATGGTACTGGCACAAAAACAGACACATAGATCAATGGAACAGAATAGAGAGCCCAGAAATAGACCCTCAACTCTATGGTCAACTAATCTTCGACAAAGCAGGAAAGAATGTCCAATGGAAAAAAGACAGCCTCTTCAACAAATGGTGTTGGGAAAATTGGACAGCCACATGCAGAAAAATGAAATTGGATCATTTCCTTACACCACACACGAAAATAGACTCAAAATGGATGAAGGATCTCAATGTGAGAAAGGAATCCATCCAAATCCTTGAGGAGAACACAGGCAGCAACCTCTTCGACCTCAGCCGCAGCAACATCTTCCTAGGAACATCGCCAAAGGCAAGGGAAGCAAGGGAAAAAATGAACTGTTGGGATTTTATCAAGATCAAAAGCTTTTGCACAGCAAAGGAAACAGTTAACAAAACCAAAAGACAACTGACAGAATGGGAGAAGATATTTGCAAATGACATATCAGATAAAGGGCTAGTGTCCAAAATTTATAAAGAACTTAGCAAACTCAACACCCAAAGAACAAATAATCCAATCAAGAAATGGGCAGAAGACATGAACAGACATTTCTGCAAAGAAGACATCCAGATGGCCAACAGACACATGAAAAAGTGCTCCATATCACTCGGCATCAGGGAAATACAAATCAAAACCACAATGAGATACCACCTCACACCAGTCAGAATGGCTAAAATTAACAAGTCAGGAAATGACAGATGCTGGCGAGGATGCGGAGAAAGGGGAACCCTCCTACACTGTTGGTGGGAATGCAAGCTGGTGCAACCACTCTGGAAAACAGCATGGAGGTTCCTCAAAATGTTGAAAATAGAACTACCCTATGACCCAGCAATTGCACTGCTGGGTATTTACCCTAAAGATACAAACGTAGTGATCCGAAGGGGCACGTGCACCCGAATGTTTATAGCAGCAATGTCTACAATAGCCAAACTATGGAAAGAACCTAGATGTCCATCAACAGACGAATGGATAAAGAAGATGTGGTATATATACACAATGGAATACTATGCAGCCATCAAAAGAAATGAAATCTTGCCATTTGCGACGACGTGGATGGAACTAGAGGGTATCATGCTTAGCGAAATAAGTCAATCGGAGAAAGACAACTATCATATGATCTCCCTGATATGAGGGAGAGGAGATGCAACATGGTGGGTTAAGGGGGTAGGGGAAGAGTAAATGAAACAAGATGGGATTGGGAAGGAGACAAACCATAAGTGACTCTTAATCTCACAAAACAAACTGAGGGTTAATGGGGGGGTGTGGGGGGTTGGGATTATGGACATTGGGGAGGGTATGTGCTATGGTGAGTGCTGTGAAGTGTGTAAACCTGGCGATTCACAGACCTGTACCCCTGGGGATAAAAAGATATTATATGTTTTAAAAAAATAAAACTTAAATAAAAAAAAAAAAAGTTAACTTTTAAAATAATTTATTAATATTAGAAATATATAAAGATCACAGAGTTTTACATATGTATGTAATATGTTTTATATATATGTAAGTTTAATGGGTATCTGTTATATGTTGCTTTCATATTAATTTTAAGAATTAACTACAGCTATAATGAGGTACATAATTGTTGTAGAAAGAACAATGGATTAAGAATCTAGACACCCAGGCTTTTTGAGTCTAAATCAATGTTAAATCTAAATCAATGTTACATTTCTTTTAAAATGTTTTATGTGACAAAAATAAAACGTGGAAGAGTTGTGGTGAGCCACAGTGACCAGTGCATATGTAAGTTCTCTACAGAAGCAGAAAAGTTCACCAGTTCCTCCTAGGATGCAGCTAGCCTTTCAAACCCAAAAGGAACAAAAATGGGATCATAGAATGTTACACATTGTTGAGCAAACAAACAAACAAACAAAGGAATCTGCTATTGCCCAATTAAGCGATAGATTATGAATTAAGAATATTGGTTCTTCACAGTAGATTGTGTATGTGTGCATTGCTGTATGATTTCTTAAAATATTTCAAAATATTATTATATGTCAACTAAACATGGAAAAATTGAGTGTGGCAGCAGGCTAAGGAGAGAGAGTTACAGTATGAGGACACATTTATTAGTTTCCTATAAATCATACCTATTTCCAGTTAGAGTAATTTAACACCTTTACTTCTTGTATTTAATTTTTTTTTTTCTGAAATAGTTAGAAAGGAACAGGATCATGACACTTTAATGGAATGCATTCTGCTAAGAATACAGATGACACTTTCAGAGCTTATGTATATAAAGATGGTTAAAAGTCAGATATAAATATACCTTTCCCACCTTGACTCAGTGATAATTGTCATTATCCATACTACTATGTTGAAAGATTGCAAAACTTCACCAAACAGCCTAACATGACAATAACAGCTGTATGACATCGAGTAAAGCCAGTGGTGAGAAGCATTGTCTTTCTCCTTTAGTCCACGGATAGTTTTTTCTCAGTGTGTGACACTTTTGTGGCAACTTTAGAAATCATGCATTTTAAGACTTAATCACCAACTCTAAGAGGATTACTCATGAACTGAACATTAAAAGGAAATAGATCCAAATACAGAACAGATTTCTTGAGTATCATTTCACAACTCATTAAAAAAGATCAAGGGACATGTTTGGAACGGAATGATTACTTGTAATTTAGTCTACATTATTTAAATTTTAATCCTCATCACTGGATATCAAGACTAAAACTTAATAAATTTATTTTATACAATGAACCTCTAAATCTCAAGGCAAAGTTTTTGGTTTTTGTTTTGTTTTTTGTTTTTTTTTTTTTTTCTTTCTAGAATTACCTGGGCATTTTAATTCATCTGAGTAGTCCCCACAGTCATTAGACCCGTCACATATCCAGCTTGGCAGGACACACAGTGAGGTCGAATTACATCTTATAAACCCTGTGGTTTTCACTCCAAGTTTATAGAAATGTGTACAGTCTGTATTATCTACAAAGAGGTAAACAGAGAAATGAAAAATACCTCATCTGCAAAGATTACAAGCCTTCTATGCAGGTCATAGAAACAAGCAAAGTTAACCTCATTTGAAGAAGTAAGAATGCAATTATCTTACACAACAGGGGTTAATTACATATCAATTCTGGACAAGGTTCAGTGGAACACCGGGCAGGATTAGATGGAATGCCAATGGTACCCAGGGATGAACAAACAAAAGGTAGTGGATTATCTTACTGCAGTTCTTTTCATCTGAAGCATCTGTACAATCTATGTTCTGGTTGCATTGTGCTGATCTTGGAATGCATGTCCCATCGGCACAACGGAATTCAACAGCAGCACAGGTGGAAACTGGAAAAACAGGTAAATAAATAAATGGATAGATGAGACCAAAGTGACTCCTCGTTCTAACATCTTCAGTACCAACGGTCCCCGACATACCGTGATTTGACACAGTTTTCCAACTTTGAGGTAGTGGGAAAGCCATATGTTTCAGTGGAACCTGTGCTTCAGATTTTGAATTTTGATCTTTCCCTGGGCTAGAGATATGCAGCAGGATACTCCCTTTTGATGCTGGTCAGCAAGAGTGAGCCATGGCCCCCAGTTAGCCACTGTGATCATGAGGGTAAACAATCAACACCCTTAGAACTGTTCTGTACCCAGACGCCATTCTGTTTCTCACTTTCAGTACAGTAGTCACTAAATTACATGATATACATGATACTTTATTATAAAATGGGCTTTGTGTTAGATAATTTTGTCCAACTATAGCTTAAGCACATTTAAGATAAGCTAGTCTACCTATGACATTTGGTAGGTTAGGTGTAGTAAATGCACTTTCGACTTCGAATATTTTCAACATAGGATGGGTTTACCAGAACATACGTGCACTATAAGTTGAGGAAGATCTATATTTTAACTAATTCATGTAATTTTGTTTGGTTTTGCCTTTTTAATTCTGGGAAGTCAAACTTGACCCATGGCTTCCACCCACACCCCCAGGCTTGGGTCAGATGCCTCATATGTCTTCCCCTGTTGAGGTACTTATAATACTTTACTGCAATTGCCTGTGTATGTATCCACTCCCCCACTAAGTTATAAGCTCCATGAAAGCAGGGATTGTACATGGTTCCCATCATAGTATCAGTGTAGCGCTAAGCCAATGTATTAAAACATCAAGTGTTGCTGAAAATTCTTTCTCCTTCCAAGTTCCAAAGTATAAAGTTATAATACTAAGCAAATGTCTGATGGAAGAAGTATGAGGAAATCCCAAACTGGTTGCAAGCAAGTGGAACATTCCCTCTGTCAGAGACAGAAACTGAGATGGAGAAACTGCTGAACATTTGCTTTATTACTCAGAGGAAATAGCTCAACCATGCTAGGAAGTCTTCCATGCTATGTTATACTCCTTTACACAGCCATATCACTAACATTTGGTATAGGAAAGATGACTACCTCATGCCAAGAAACATAAATGTGCTATGACTTGTCTCTATTGTTAGAAAGTCTGACTTTCCAATTCCTTGCTATGCTTAGATGAAAATCAGTTTCAATATGCTACTGTCATTATATATACCTTATACAGAATAGCTTATGCTTAATCATATATTCATTTCTACTTTGCTCACACATTCATTACCATATAATGGTTTCCAGCAATATTGTGAACAGGTGCATGTCATGCTATGTACATTAGATTAACTTAGGTGAGATTTTTATTCCAAACTCAAATTTTCACAGGTTGATTATGTAAATGTACAACCTGAAGGGCTCTTTGACTATGCCACTTTTACTAGTGTTGATATTTTGAAGAGCCTATTTATTTATAAATAGAAATTATATCAATTGTAAATAGTTAAAATGCTACCTTAAGATATGCAAATTTTACTCAAGGGTGTATATGTCATTTGTATTTCATAATGCACTGTTCTTATTATTTTTAATTGTATCTTGCAATTGTATCCTTATTTGTGTTTAAATGATGATTAGAATAAGTGTTTTATTTACAATTTGCAATTATAATTGCTTCAGTGTTTTCTTCATTAAAAATAACATCTTATCATATGAAACAGATAATGCTATTATGAGTAGAGATAAATACACTGTTCCAAACAGGAAAAAGAAATATTCTTCTTTTATGTCTAAAAAGCAAAATCTCTTCCATATACCTTTCTATTATATTTTACATTCAATATTTTTTCAATAGAAACAGTAAATGGAATACATAACATAGAAAGTAATCATGACAAGCATTTTATTATTAAGAAGTTGTGTTCCACATGATTCCTTATAATCCCTTTATTTAGAAGACAGGATTCATTTCTCTGTGAAACAACATCCTAGATAGTGGTAATGTCTTCTAGATAGTGGTAATGTCATAATACCCTAGAGTTTCCATCTTACACTCACAGAGGTTAAGGGTACCAGAAGAATTCTGATGGGAACAATCACAGTTCACCACATCATCTCCATCTCTCCCCAAATGTCCACAGAACAGCTTCTGTGTACATGGTAGGGAGTCCATCTGAGTGGAGATTGGTGGCAGATAGGATGAAGAGGCAAATTATGACATCACTGACATGAGGATAGCATCTTACACAGCTATGAGGGCTGAAGATCCAGCAGTATGCAGTAATGGAGATTCAAAAACTGTACTGGGGCTCTCAGGTGAAAGTGAACATAAAGAATACCTTGTGAGAAGAGCAGAGATGTGGAGCAAGTGGAACCCAGTTTTAGATGGAAGTCTGAGAAGAAGAAAGAAAGGAGAAGAACTCTGACTAGATGAAAAGAAATGGGAACTTTGAAGTTAAAATGAATGGCTAGGAGATAATATTTAAAAGAAAGACATGGATGAAATGATGAGGTAGGGGGTTAGAAGAACTAGGTAGAGAGCAGAATATTTGCAGGATGTGTTTTCTCCCATGTTCCAATGAAAAATTGGGCAAATGAATCTTGGTGAGGAGGACAGGGAGGTCTATTAGAGTATGGGCAATGTGCAAATAGGAAGACTATCTTTTTAGTTCAAATACTCTCTTCACAGGGTCCCTGACTTGGTATAGAATTTGAGAACCACCAGAGGGTTAAATAGTGTGCTAAGACGTACTGGAATTGGACATACTAAGTGGTTGCAGAATTTCGCATGTAGCAGGGGCAAGATGGTTGTGGGGATTAACATCTCCAGCAACTGTAGCAGAGGGGGATGGGAGAGATCCAAGGGAATGCAGGAACTTTATTAAATAGTTAGGCAAATACCTCTTTTGCCAAAACCTCTTCCTCTGTTTCCTTCAACTATATTTCCTCCTACTTTGTTTGGTCAATCAAGTATTGAAATTTGTTTCACCCTTAGGGTGATTTTTGAGGGAGAAATATATTGGAATCTCTAATTTGTCAAGTGAATATGAAAGCTTTCTGACAATTTTTCCTCAGGCTAAAGTCCTAAAAGAGAGAAAAGAAAATAATGTAGTCCAAATAAAGATAAGCCAATTGAGAAATACTAGACTTTTCCCTCCAGATAGTCCAAAAGTAAAGTAAGCCTACGAAATGTGAGTGAAAACATACCGCAGCCACCCCAGGAATAGCAATGAGATACTACAAAGGAAGATCTGACAGGGATTGTGGATCAAAGTAGCACTAAGAGAAAAAGTAAAACCATTCTTCCCCTCACATACTTTCTTAATTTTACTATTTCATCCACTTTTTTTTTTTTTTTATCCCATGTCAGTTCAAATATTTAATGAGATAGGAAAGATATAACATTGGTCTTTCTGTGGTTTTCAGGACATTTCTTATGAATATCTTAAGTATATGTTTTCTCTTCCAACTTCCCTGCCCAGCCTGCAGCACAGGGCAGCTGACATGAAAAAAAAAGAAAGAAAGAAAGAAAGGTGTGGGGGGAAGAAAGAAAGAGAACATTAAATTTGCTATCTTCTTCCTCTCTTCTGTTTACTTTCAAACCACATCTTTTCTTTAATTTACTGCTTAGGCTCTAAGGGTATGCAAACCCTGAGGAATGATGATTTCATCTATAGGAATGCTTATCCTTTTCCCTTAGCTTATTGTTTATGGAATCTTCAAAGGGTTGCTATGAACATGTGAAAAAAGAAAGGAAAAAAAAAAAAAAAAAAACTAACACCAGTTTCCTTCCCATCAGGTAGTCTTAGAACTACTTAGCTTTTTAGTCACCTAAAGTTGTCCAGGTGACCGAGGCAAGCTCATATACTACCCAAGGATAGTAATTAGACCCACCTCAGTAGGAAGAGAAGGAGGGATATTGTGTATTCTCCCCCACTGATTCACCCAGCCTCTCACACATGAGAAGAAATCAGAGTGACAAACTTTCTAAACAACTCTTCAGGTTACCCACCTCCACCCCGCCAGATAGCCTGGTATGTAACACTCTCAGGGCACTAATAAAAGATTTACAAGAATTTAGGGTTTTGCTTCCCTTCAAAAGGAGAAGAAACCAAAACTGATTCCTTGGAACATTCATTTCCATTCTGCCCTGTGGGATAAGAATAATGATACTATTAGTTACTATGAACAGCTACACTAAAGAAATAAAAGTGTAACAGTACTTCAAAAATTTTACAGATGATTCCACCATCGCCTTTCTCCATAGCCTATCAAACTCTCTCTATACATTGACTTTTTATTGTACTAATTTAAAATCTTTACATCTTACTTTATTTACACTTAAAAAATAATAGGTGGTGTGTGTGTTTGTGTGTGCATATCTGTGTGCCCACATATGTGCATGCATATATACAACAAAACACTGCACACATATGTTGCCCCAATGATACAAACAGAGAAGTATCTAGAAGGAAAAGAAGCGGAGCAAGAGCTCCTTTTCCATTGTTCCTGAGCCCCTCCTCCTCCTTTTCAAACTTCATCATCTTTTAAGTACTGTAAGGTTCCATTTGTTGGATAAATACACATCTGAATTATAAGACAGACTGGCTTATGCCATATGGACCCAGAGAAGTCTTTCCCCTAGCATGTGAAATGTGACTTACAAAGACACCATGTAACCACATGTAATATGAGAGAAAAATCAAATCCAAAAGATACAACTGTAATAAGTAAACTTTTATCTAAAAACCTACCCAATTGTTTATCCTAAAGGAGCTAGTCCACTTACTTAAATCTATTCATTTCTAGAAATAAGGTGTGTATTTGAGTTCTTACAAGTGCTTTTAGTTTCAAATGTCCTATATTATATGGGAAGAACTTCAAGGCCAAAGTTTTTGTTGTTGTTGTTGTTTTTAAGGTATGCAATTATTATGATTTTTATACTATTATTATCACAAAAGAAAAGTTTTAACAGAAACTTGATTCACAAATGGAGTAGTTCTCACCCAAGTATATGGCTAAGATAGCTATAACACAGAAATCAAGAGTTTAGCCTAAGAAAGGGGTAATAATGTTTTGAGTTATTTTCATTGTTATTCAGCAGCTGGAATTGATGATATTAGTCAGAATAAAACCTATCTATATATTTGGAAGACTTATGGCTTCACCAGAAATATAAGAATTTAATATACACCTACCAGGTAGTAGGTGCTATATTTCATAAAACAAAACTCACTGACTATTTTATTTACCACCTTTGAAATTTTTTTTTTTCATTTTTTCAAGAAAATCCACAGTAACTTATTAACTTCCCATGGACCCTTTTATGACTTTTGTCTTAAAATCTACTTTCTGTATCTTTTGTTCAGTTCCTTCACATTCTAGCTTGATATTTTTATCTTTAACCTAGTTTAATATCTTTTTTTTTTTTTAAAGATTTTATTTATTTATTTGACAGACAGAGATCACAAGTAGGCAGAGAGGCAGGCAGAGAGATAGAGAGAGGAAGGGAAGCAGGCTCCCTGCCGAGCAGAGAGCCGGACGCGCGGCTCGATCCCAGGGCCCTGGGATCATGACCCGAGCCGAAGGCAGAGGCTTTAACCCACTGAGCCACCCAGGCGCCCCCCTAGTTTAATATCTTTATTATATTCTCCTTTCCTGCTTGCAAATAACTGATAAAACATGTCCTTTTGGGGGTCTACTTTTAGTTTGCTTTCCTCCTTTATTCCAAATACTTATCCATTTTTCTCTACTTATTCCCAGTATCTTACTATATTTTATCATTTTTTTATCTTCTATAATTAATATGAAATAACAGCTGATTTAAAATCTGCACGAGCATTTGGCTCTTCCTAAACTAGTGTCAGTCTTAGATAGTAAGCTACTCAAGTGTTTGGCTAACGTCTTACAGTCTAAGGTGGCAGAGTAACTTCTGAGCCCTTTTCTAGCTCCAAAATGGTCTGTGCACATTCTGTCCTCTTCCACAAATTTGCATCACCTTCTCCTGCCATCTGTACTTCACTATTTCCTTTACCATCAGTCTTTTCTAAAAATAGACTTATTCACTCTATTTACTTCTTTGCTATCCATTTTCTGTACCAACTCAAGGAGATCTGGCTTTTCTTTACCATTCCACTGAATTGACTTTCATGAAGGCAACAAAGAGATTATCTCCGATTTTCCAAGTTCAACGACTACATAGTCTATACCGGCCTTCTTGTTTTCCCTTAACACATTAAAATGCTAACTGATCCTCCCTTCTTAATAATAATAATAATAATAATAATAATGCCTTATGAAGATCTTTCCATTAGTCCTGTGATTCACTTCTCCTTTTCTTATATTATTAATGTCTTTAATTTTTTATTTCAGTAGGTAATTCTGATGTACTCCCCTACAACTATTATTCTATACCTCCTCTGAGCTTTCTCTCTGTATTAAGTCCAAAATTAATACTTCTGTTCTAAATCTACTACCAGATCTTTATCTATCTAAATGTCTCTGGGACATTTCCATCTGAATGTCTACAGGTGCTTCACTGTGGGAATGCAAACCATCTTTATTATCATATGCCTGATCCCACATGAATAAAAGACCTAAAAAAAAAATTTAAAAATTAATGAAAGACAAAAAATAATGTAAAAAGAGGGGGAAGAGTTCACAAAACTTGTCTATTCTTTTCCATGTTTTCTCTATCTTTATTACACAAGAAGACCTATTATGCCACCTTTTAAAATTCTGTTGTATCTGTCTCTCTTCTTTTTATTCTTAGCTTTGGCTGCTTTGATAGCCTCCTGTTTTACCTTTCTCATCTCAGCATTATAGTTTTCATTTGCACAAGCATAGCCCCCCCCCCACTTTTTTTGAAATGTAAATTTGATTGTATTGGGTTTCTTTTAGAACTTTGGTAGGTAACTTTTTGGTGACTACAAGGTAAAGTTCCTTAAAATGGCATCAAAAAACACCTTCAGGGGAGCCTGGGTGGCTCAGTGGGTTAAAGCCTCTGCCTTCAGCTCAGGTCATGATCTCAGGGTCCTGGGATCAGAGCCCCGCATCGGGCTCTCTGCTCAGCAGGGAGCCTGCTTCCTCCTCTCTCTCTGCCTGCCTCTCTGCCTACTTGTGATTTCTGTCTGTCAAATAAATAAACAAAATCTTAAAAAAAAAAACCAAAAACACCTTCGAGTCCTATCTCCTTCCTCTCACTTGCCTCATTATTTTTTAAACCACTTGCCAATATGCAGTCTGGCTCTAAACATTTCAAAGTATTTGCAGCTTTCAATGTTAGTCTCTCTACTTGGAATCACCTTCTATTTTGATCATTCTACCTTATTTATACTTTATTCCAACCCTCCCCTCAAAACTTATGTTTTCATATCTGCAATCATAAAACCTGATATATACCTTCGTCTCTTTAACTATTTTTATTTGGAGTTTGAACTTCGTAAGGGCAGGCAGAGGACTTATTAATTTTATGTCTCATCCTTAATGCATTTTACCCAATGAAATATGTTGGGGAATGAAAATTTTAAAGGAAATTGGTTCAGAAAAATCTGTCTGGGGGAACCTGGCTGGCTCAATCGATTAAGTATCTGCCTTTGGTTCAGGTCAGGATCTCAGGGTTCTGGGATCAAATCCAGTAGCAGCAGCAGCAGCAGGCTCCCTGCTCAGCAGGAAGTGTGCCTCTTCATCTCCCACTGCCCTTCCCCCTGCTCATTCTTTCTCTCTCTTTAATAAAGAAATAAAATCTAAGAAAAGAAGAGAAAAGAAAGGAAAAGAAAACTCTGTTGCATCCAGATTTTAAGAGTCCTTAAATGTCAGACTAAAAAACTTGTTGTTTATTCTGCAAATATAAAGACTCCATTTGTAATTCTTTATCAGGGCCATGATAAAAACAAAAAACAAAAACAAAAACAAACAAACAAAAAACAAGGTGAATGCTTACATAGTATTTTCTATATGCCAAGTTCTGTTCTGATTTTATTTAATATTAATATACTCATTTAATTATTGCCTCTTTTCTTACAGCTTGAGAAATTGAGGCACAGAGTGGTTAGATATTTTACCCAAAGACACAGAGACAGCGCTGGGGTCGAGGTTCTGACCTACATCATCTGGCTTGCTGATTGGTGTCAGTACTCACTCAGAACACATTTAGTAAAACATTACAGTATGACTACAACTTTGTGATTAACTGGAAAGAGTAGAGGCAGGGAGACCAGTTAAAGGACTATTCTGTTTATCTAGGCTCGAGGCAGATTAAAAGGGAAGATATTTCAAAGAACTGGATGATTTACTGATACATGAACTTGTGGGTGATAAAATGTAATAGAAAGAGGAATCAAGGATAACACCAAGGTTTCCTGTCCAATTGTTAGGAAAAGAATGAGGCCATGCGAAAAGCAGAGAACTGAGAAGCGAGGGAGAGTATTTTTGGAGCAGTACATTCACTGTTCCATATTCTGGTACAAATGTCCAATAAACATGGCAGTAGAACTGAAGAGGTGAGAAATAACAAGAGTTTTGAAGTGAGCAAAGGGACAGAAACAGAATAGAGATTGTACTCATAATTTCGATGAACTGCAATAACTCCCCTCCAACAGCAATTAACAAAGTATGCTCTATCTGTACTGTCAGGGGCCATATACTGAAAGGGTGAAACTGTGATGCTCTCAGGAATACACTACGGAAAGTGTTCAGGAAACACTTTGCATAATATTCCTAGGCTGATGCCGCATACATTTACCTTTACAGTCCAATTCATCAGAATTGTCCCCACAGTCATTTTCACCGTCACATAACTTGCTGTGAGGAATGCAACGACGGTTGTAGCAGGGTCTGAAACCTCGTCGACAGCTTCTGTTTTCTTATAAAGAAAAATAGAAACATCATTGGAGGTCTTACAGAGATATTTTTACAAAAAAGAAAATCACAGATGAGTTTTCATTTCATAATGATTGGATCGTGGATCTACAAAAGCAGCACTGTGCGGTATCATAGCTCTGGATTAGAATATTCATGAATTATCGAGGAATTCATTCATTAAAGACCATTTTGACTAAGTGCTTTAACTTGAGTGATTCATACTTGGAGATCTCTTCAAATTATACCCACATTATCATTTCTGATATTTGTGTGTCAGTACAGAAATAAACGTATATTCAACTCTCAAGAAATAAGTCTTTACCTCAACAGTCACAAAGACACTCTCAACACCTATCTCCTATCTCCTTTGCATTTCGTAAGGCTTTAGAACAAGAAAAAAAAATAGTGGCAAAATATGTATTCCGGAACCAGTGAATCAGAGGCTTACCTAATATCCATAAATTTCTCTTAAGAATCATCTAAAAATTCCTAATTTCCTAAGAAGAAGAATAATTACCTTCTGAATTCTGTTTACCTTAAAGAGAGTCTCCTGACACTTTCTGATTTCAGGCAGAAGGTACTAGCTGTCATTTACTGAACACCAATTTTATGCCTGGCTCTATAATATGGAGCAAATGTAAACATACATTTGTTTATTTAGGGCTCTAAGCCAATATTCAAACTAAGTTTGTTTTGTAGTGAAAAACTAAAATATGGAGAAGTACCCTTGCTCATACTAGTCATACACTAGTGGGTTTAGGAACAAAGATTTAACTTCGGGTGTGATTACAAAGCCTAGAGTCTATACCTACGGTTGTAAAACTACAGCCCACAGGCCAAATGCAGCCTAGTAGCCTGTTTTTGTATAGCTCTGACACTAAGAATGGTTCTTATATTCTAAAATAGTTGCAAAACAAATTATTTTAAATAAAGGATATTTCATAGAGAGCATTTTTGACCCACAAAACCTAAAATACTTAACTATCTAACCCTTTGCAGAAAATGATTGCCAACCCCTGCTCACGTGACTATTATCTTGCTTCTCAGAAGGTAAAAATAATGTGAAATATATTCCTAAGACAATTCATAATCAATGCAAATTTGCAAGCTGATTATTATTACATTTTTATATCCTTTAATATTTTCATAGCATATAGGGCATAACCACTCAAATGAATATACCATCTGGTAAAGGTAAATTCACTAAAGTTTTAATTACAGATCAATTATGGGCAGATTACATCTGACTATGATTTTAACTGAAAATCTGTGATCCTGTAACAAAATGAATGAGAGGACTGCCTGCGAATTTCCCAAACTCTTCCCTCCTCTTATTTTAATCACTTTTTGATTATTTAGGTATAATTATCTAATCGAACAAAGGAGAAAAGTACAAACCAAATATAGTAATTTCATGTACAGATTCCTGAATTTTACAGAGCATACAATACCAATACTCTAATATTATAGTACAAAAATAAATCATACCAATTTAGAAATAATCTGGAACAATTCTACAGTAACTATTAATGATTTACACATATTCAACTTTCCAGGAAAAATATTGTTGTGATGAAGGCTAATATCAGTGGCTTACTGGGCTCAAAAAACCAATCTCTACTCCCCTGAGAGAGTGAAAGTTTGACTATCACTTAATGTTATCACTTAGCGTCACCTACAGAGGCATAACTAGAGGAATTCATGCTTGATGAGGAGGATGGCTAATGCCATCAGCCTTTGAACCCAAAGACACTAGCCCTAGGCCAATCCTGGAGGCAAGAATAGGGACAACACTTTGATATCAACTCAACAACATGCGATTATTGACTGATAGTAGACTTTTGTGCAGGGTAAACTTACAATATACGCCAATGACTAATAATTCTGACTTACATTTTTTAAGAACGTAAACCTAAAACCTATCACTTCGTGATAAGTAAGACAGCTTAAATAAAGGCCCCTGTTGTATTTAAACTTGCACTTTGTAGAGGGAAAGCCATGAGAAAATTCTTCACTAAATATCGTGAGTCCTAAATAGGACATAGGGAGTCCCATTTGAACAAGAACAAAAGGCCAAAATCAATTACTTTAGACCTACATGGTAATGAGTGACATTAAGGAAATCATACATGTGAGCTAAATGGAGACAATCGAACCCAAAACTATGAAAATAATTCCAAACTTCTCTCTGAAGTGAGGACATACATCATATATGAGCCACTTACCACAGTAGAGCAGTTTTTCATCTGACTTATCCTTACAGTGAGGCACGCCATCACAGGTGAGCTCATAGTCAATACACTCTCCGTTTCCACACTCAAACTCTGAATACATGTTGCAAGATGAATTTTTAGCTGAAAGGGAAAAAAAGTCCATGTTTTGACTCAATAACAAACATTTCTGGTACCATAACATCTCTTTCCCTTAATATTCATTATAGAACTAAACTAAAATTTATCAAAATGTAAAATAAAATAAAGGGCAGTGGTTTATGACATGTCTTAATTTAAAAAAAAATAAGAGGAACAACTTTTTGTTTGCTGTTTTTACATTCCCTCTTTAAAATTTTTGGGAGTTGCCTCACTTCATTTTTCTTTTACACCTATTGTATATTGGGGTAATTATTTTGTGACTGTATATGTGTGGAAAGAAGGATGGGCTTTGGGGGAGTATATTTATGCATCTTAGCATAGCCGTCTACCTTAAAAATAAATACTGAAAAAGAGCCAATTAAAGGAGCCCTGTACATATGGAGAGAGGATTTTTTATGTGTGTGTTTTCTTATTAGAAACTACATTCTTCAACACATTGGAATTTTCCAAGATACAGAGTTCTCAGTTTTATTTCTTTATTTTTGTTTGAGTATAGTTGATGCTCAACTTATTTCAGGTGTAGAGTTCTCATTTTTTAATGCTTGCCTTGATTTATCTCATCTAAATCTCCCTCCAGCTGATCTTCCTCCCCAACTACCTTTTAAAGAAGTCTCTGTAGGAGTTTTCATTGTTCAGAAGTACTGGAATTGCTAAAAGTATCCTCATCAGCCTCTTGTTCTATCTATGGCGAGAGGTACCAGGGGCGGGATGGCCACACAGGGTCAGCGACTACTCCTTGAGATGCAACTGTGGGTTGAACTGGGGGAGGCTGAGCAACTGAAAAGCATGTGTAAGAGAAGCTTATGGGCTCCAGATGACCACTGCCATATGTCTCATTTCTAAATCTCAAGATTTTCTTAAGAAATTAAAAGTCCGAGTTTTTATGTGACTTGTCCAATCTGTGAGACCAGACCAATAGCAACAAAGTACAAAGAAACAAAAACCATCTTTCTACAGCTAGGTTTCATCCCTGGAATCCCAGTATGTCACCCTTGTTTTAGAAAGATCTCTCCTGGGGAAAATGGACCTATTTTTATTCTTAAGCAATAGATTTACCAACAGTCATTTGGAATGCAATTCTGTTCTTGCATTATACGTTGTTTGCTTGCTTATACTCACTCCATTGCTCATTGAATAATTGTACAGTGAAATCCAGTCATACTAATTATATTGGAGATAATTAGAATTCATTTATCTCTACTAATGCAGAAAACATAGCTTAATTTTATAATTTACTATCAATTTCTTTTCAAAGTTGTATTTTAGAAATATTCAATTACATGGCTACTAATACTACTTAAAGTTTCCAGTGTTTTATTTCTTTATTGTTCCTAAAATTTATCTCATTTTTACAGGTTATCTATTTATCTACCTATGACTTCTAACTGAACTCTTTCAATGTTCATTTTTTTCTTCACTTTCCAAAACAAAATTTTTTTTTTCTTGGTGCAGATTAAATTTGGTAGGGTAGAAAGTCATTTTAAAGAAAGTAACAAAGAATTTAAAAGTCTAAAAATATCATTAACTTCAAAGGAACAAGTGTTAAGGAGGGTATTGACATTACTGCACATGATCACATTCAAGCATGAACTGAACAAAATTCACTTACTGAGAGGCTACTGACTTTCCCAACTTACTGTCTACTTGCAGCATATCTTGTTTAACTTCTCACTTCTAATGAAAACTGTTATGATTGAAAATGCAAATTTTGGTTTTATAATCATTATGCCTTTGAGGGAAAATACAAAAAAAAGTTTTTATTATGTAAAATCAAACCTTATATAAGCACAATATGTGCTTAGTTATGTTCAATTGAAATAGCATTGAGTATTTTATGTTTCTTTGCAGAAACAAAAATGTGGTTCAGCTGTCCTCTAATTCTCTTACAAGGCAATTACTTCAATTATTTCTTATTTCTATTGTAGATGTTGATAAGGTTAGGAACGTTGTGTAAAATGGAATTGCCTCATCTTTCTGTCAAGAGTTATGACAACACATGCTTTTCCCTCCGCTGTCCTGAAGGAGGTGTTAATAAATGGCCTTTCACCCCTTCAACAATGCCATTAACATTCATGAACTGCTCTGGATGAACTAATTCAGATGTGGATATAGATATGCCAGAAACATCCTCATTTCCCAAAGATGGATTTGACAAGAAGTCACTCTCCAGCCTCTAGGCTGGACCACAGGATTTCAATATGAAAGCACCATGGATACAGGACGCTTCTATAAAGGTCTGTCTGCTCTGAGGAATCCAGTATCACTCTATAGTTGCATGCGGATACAACTGTGCTTGTTTAAAAGATAGTTTTCTTTCTGATTCATTCCCTCTCATCAATAGAGAGAAGCAGGTGGCTTAGTAGAGACAGATGTATCTAATCTATTTTGGAGCAAGGACAGGCATCCAGTGTATACAAATAAGCCTTGCTGTTTTGACTGAAGGCATTGCTTTTCTACTGGCCTGGAGTGACCTGTGAAAGAAACATGAGTGATTCTAATGCATGACTAACACTCCAGGCTTACAGATGGCATCCGATCCAGACCATTACAGCTGAAACCACAAAAGCAAACTGAAAGAGAGAGTTTAAACAATTGCCTGAGCAATTCAAGGAAGTGTTAGGTTACTAAGAAATACGGGAATCTATGGCCCCGATTATTAAAATTGGCTGTCTTCATTTAAAGTTCAATGACCAATTGCATCACTCCCTTGTTTGCTTTGGCACAGTCTTAAATAGGAGTCTTTTACTTCTTTCATTAAGAGGTGCCCCTTGGATTGTGGTACCAATTCGCAAAGCAAAAAGATATGTGTATATTCTTATCTTAGGTGCAATTGTTTTTAAGGTAAAGAAAATGATATTAAAGTGCTTATATTAGAGTGCACAACAGATAAAACAGATCTTCCTGGTAAATAAAGACCAAAAGAAGACTGAAGATAAACAGGGAATATACTTATACCATCTTGATACTTATTTTATTTTTTTTAAGATTTTATTTATTTATTTGACAGACAGAACACAAGTAGGCAGAGAGGCAGGCAGAGGCAGAAGGAGAGGGAGAAACAGGCTCCCCACTCAGCAGAGAGCCCGATGTGGGACTCGATCCCAGGACCCTAGGATCATGACCTGAGCTGAAGGCAGCCACTTAACTGACTGAGCCACCCAGGCACCCTTGATACTTATTTTTATAATGTATACATACTCAGCTCTGTTGATTTTCTAAAATGAAGATACAAGATGAGGATATAGAGAAGAGGGAAAAAAGGCAAAACTACAGCCACATCCTGAGAGTGAGTTCACCAGTTTCCAAGATGTTTGTCTCTTGTTTGTTTTATACACAAATAGTCTTAATGTTAAAGATAAATTAACATTCTTTATGTTGCTGGCTAATTTCTCATAGCAACATTGGAATACTTGAACTCTTATTTATTTTGAAAACAGTTTGAAAACTTAGCTGCTAATAAGTGTATACTGTAATGGTACTAATTAAAGATTGTAATGCCTTTTGGGAGGTATAAACATCATGCAAGGCTGCAATGTTACATTCTTAATTAACCGTTTGGAAATGATTACAAATAAGCTGCATGAGCCATTCTCTCTCATTTACATACTGTGACGTACTGAGTGGTTTTACTAGAAGGCTACTGATCTACTGCCTATATATTGGTTTATTTCAGCTTTAATTAATTTTGCTATTGACTTAATTCTCAAAGTTGTAACCACAGCTTTTCAGATGATTTGCTGGTATTTCTTTAACTAATCCAACGCCTTCCAACCTGCAATAAGGGGTACACCATTTGTCACTGTTCTGGTTATCATTATCTATCTTATGGTGTTACAACTAAGTAGAATGGTGAATCAAGTTCTTTTTAGAATAGAGAGATATGCCAACTGGGCACCTAAGATTGGAGGAAGTACAACTTCATGTACACTAAAACAATTTCAACATCCATGTGTACCTTTTTTTTTTTTAAAGATTTTATTTATTTACTTGACAGAGAGACATAGCGAGAGAGAGAACACAAGTAGGGGAGAGGGAGAAGAAGGTTCCTCACTGAGCAGAGAGCCCAATGTGGGGCTCAATCCCAGAACCCTGGGATCGTGACCTGAGCTGAAGGCAGAGGCTTAACGACTGAGCCACCTAGGCGCCCCCATGTATGCCTTTGAGTAGCTGTATCATATCACATTTCAATTGTCTTTACTTACTCACACATCTGTTGTCATGTAGCAATATTCGATCCCCCCTGCAGGAACAATTTACTCTCCCATTAGGAGTTAAAAGGCACAGGTCATGGCAACCTCCATTTAATAAGGAACATGGAGAAAGTTCACCTGCAATGAAGAAACTTTATTGGTAACATTTTATATTGAATTTCTATTCCATGATAGATAGAAATTAATAGCAAACTGTTACACTGTCCCCATTTCTCAAAGATATAACCAAGGAAGATTCAGGACTTTTGAAAATCCAAACATCACAAGAGATAAGAACATTAGAAAAACATGTCACATAAGTCATTTCATCATCTAAAACATTAGTCAAGGATGTCATGGGCTCAAATAAACTAGTATCACTTAAAAACATCCTGACACTTCAGGCTGCAATTTTTGTAGATGTTCCAGTGATTAAAGCACTTTTAAGCCCAGATGTAAAGCTTACTTATCAAGAAGTATTACTTTCCCGAAAACAACTTGATTTGAATATCCAAAGATTGAGAGTGAGAGAGAATAAATTTCCCAGAAACAAATGATTAAAAAGGAATTGTTCTTCTGTTGAGAAATTAAGAACTGCAGAAGTTACCTTGAGCACTTCAGATAATTTTAATATATTGAGTGTCAAATCCTGAACACTACCCAGGAAATTTAAGAAAACAAAATCCAACTAAGTATTACTAGAAAACATAATTCTTTGAGAGATTATATTATTAAGAAATGCATTTAGTTTCTAGTGTAACTTACAGCTATTGGTGTCATTGGCAACAGCTATGATTCCCATCGGTTGATGTGGAATATCAGAACGGAGAATTTTTGTATCTCCCCCTGTGTATTTGTTGGAACGCAGAATAGCTCTTCTTCCCCAGTCTGACCAGAAGATATAATTGTCATAAACAGCTAAACTGAGGAAAGTTCCTGGCCCAGATTTAACAATCACCTGAAATAAATTTAAATATATATATATTTTTAAATGAATATGTAGGTATTCCTATATCCTCATCTATTTTTGCTTCAAAAATTAAAAAAATAAGATTAATCAATAAAAAAATCATCAGATAAAATGAATTTTACTAAATGTATTACCTTAAAATTCTTTATAGCTTTATTTTAAATGTTTTAATCATTCTTAGCATTTACAATGTGTTTATTTATTATTTTAAATATATTTCTATTTACCAATCATTCAGCTTATATAAGCAACTGCATTTTCTCAGTATTATGAAACAAAATCACCAGGTCAAACATATGAGATTGTGATTATTAATAAACATTTATCTTTATTAAGAATCATCAGATAGCCAGTGAACACTAATCAAGCTCTCAAAACTATAAAAGGATTATAAAGAACTATAAGACCCAGGCTTTTCCTTCAGGAAGTTTTCACCATGAGTGATTAAACCAGCTATACATATATTGGCAATAAAAGTTTAAAAGTAAAAACAAAACTTCTACTTAGACCAAAATAAAGGACTAGATTTACCTTCTCAATAAGACAACTACAAAACTGAATAAAATATATAAAACAAGGCTTTTCAGCACATTGGACATCAGGTAACAAAGGACAAGTATTCCTAATTAATTCAGGAAATAAACTGAGTGAGTCTCATGATGCCCATGGCTAAAGGCCTGAGAGAGATTCAGGTAGCAGCCTAGAACAGAAGAACCCAACAGAACCTGGACAACTCCCTGAGTGGGGTAGGGCTAAGAATTAGAAGACAGTGGGGTTAGATCTCATAGGGCAGAGTGTCAGAGACGAGAATGTAACAGAAAAAGAACTCTAGGTATCTGCATAGGGCTCTCCTGGATGATTCAGCCAAGTACGAAGCACATGCACAAGCATCTCATACAACTTCAGGTTGGTGAAAGAGCCATGCACAAGGATCAGAGAGAAGAGTTCCCAAAATTCACACAGGTCCATGAATTGTGTTTGTTAACACCAACCAGATTTGAAAACTTGCCAGTTCACGAGAGTCTGAATAGAGTAACTGGAAGAGTCTTGCCTCAACAATGCCAAATAATCAACCCTAGACTAACTTTGCCCTAACTCCTAATAAAACTTAAAGGAAGACCTCAAAGATCAAACTGTTTCACATAGCTTAACTCTTCCCCAGAATAGAACTCAGGTATTTTAATGGAAATATGAAAAATTTACCACTAAGCTACTATGCAAGAAAAGATATAAAAGAAAAAGAAATATCTCAAATTAATTCCCTCAACAAAAATGCTAAAACTAAAGTATAGAAAGGAAAAAAATAAAGATAGAGAAATCAAAGAAATAGAACACAGGAAAAAAAAAACAATAGACAAAAATCAATGATATTTAAAAAATGGTTATTAGAGAACTATAAAATGGATAATATATAATGATGAAGTAGGGTTTATTCCAGAAATAAAGATTGATTTTACATTTAAAAAAACCCTATTAGCATAATTTACCATACTAACAGACAAAAAAAGACAACACATGTGAAGATCTTAATAAATGCAGAAAATTATTTACAGGATCTAACATCCATTCCTGATAAAAACTTAGAATAGAAATTAAACTAGGAACAAGAGGAATGATCACTCTCACTTCTACTCAAGCTTTTCCTAGACTTTCTAGTCAGAATATTAAAGCAAAAAACACAATATTTCTAAGAAATTGGTGGGGGAAGAAGAGGAAGAAATTAAAATGCATTTATTTGCAGGTGACATAATCCTCTACATAAAAAAAATTCAATAAAATCTACAAGAAAAAAGCTGCTTAGACTAACTAATATACCTAGTAAAGCTGTATGATACAAGATTGCTACAAAAATTGTGTATACTAACAATAAATAATTGAAAATTAAAATAAAATAAATTTTCCAGTGGCATAAACAAATATGAAATACTTAGTTACATGTTAAAAGTATGTACAAGAATATAAGAACTATAAAACATTGTTAAGAGAAACTAACAAAAACCCAAATAAATAAAGAGATATAACCTATTCATGATTTGTAAGATTCAAAACCACTAAGATGTCACCTCTCCTCAAACTGGTAAATTATACCTAATGCCAATAAAAACCCAGCAGACATTTTCTAGAAATTGACAAGCTAATTCCAAATTGTGGGTGGAAATGCAAAATATCTAGAATACAAAAAACAAGACAAAAAGGCAAAAAATAAGTTGGTGGACTAACACTACCTCATTTCAGGACATAATAAATTGACAGTTACCAACATAGCGTAGTATTGGAAAAAGATAGAGAATTACATCAGTGGGACAGATAAGAAAGTTCACAAACAGACCAATATGTACATGGATAACTATTTTTAAACAAAACTTTTTTAAAAAGATAGTTTTTTTCAACAAATGGTACTTGAATAAATAAATATGCATACACAGAAACTAAAGTTCCATCCTTTAAAAAACAAACAAACAACTGAAAACATATCATAAACCTAAATATAAAATTTAAAACTATAAAATTTCTAAGGAAAAATACAGAAGAAAATCTTTATGACCTTGGGGTAAGCAAAAATTTCTTAGGTATGACATCAAAAGCATGATTCATGAAAAAGATTGATAAAATGAACTCAATCAAATTTTAAAACTTCTACACTTCAAAAGATAATGATAAGACAATGAAAAGATAAGTCACAAACTCTAAAAAAATATTTGCAAATCTTAGGTCTAGCAAAGGACCCATATTGAAGAAAAAAATAAAACCACACTTCCAAAACTCAAAATTATCATGAATATATAACATAACAAAGAGTGGGAAAGAGGTTTGAATAAACATTTTATTAAAGAATATATATGCTTGACAAATAAGCATATAAAAAGATTATTGACATCATGAGACATTAGTGAAGTAAAGTTAAAATTACTGCACCATTCTTAGAATAAAACTAAAATGGCTGACAAACCAAGCATTGGTGAGGATATGGAGGAACTTACAGGAATAGAAAGTGGTACAACAAACTCGGAAAACAATTTGTCACTTTCTTACAAAGTTAAACGTACAACTAGCATATGATCTACCCTTCTATTCCCTGGCATTTGTTTACCAAAGGAATTTAAAGCATATATCTATATAAAGACTTGTACACAAATGTTCACAGAAGCTCTACTTGTAATAAGCAAAAACCATAAGCTACTTAATATCCATGTACAGATTTATGCATAAACAAATTGCATATATCTATATTATCTTAAGCTTGGGCATGTCCTCAGGAGCTCGACTTTAGCAAAAAGTTGAGTTTTGCTATGTCAGTTTAGCTGGACTCCCCCACTCTTGATACCTAATCACCATCAATATCTTCATCCCCTGGACTCCCCTGGTGAAGTATGATCACTTTGACCTACCATCACCAATAATTTTGTTAGGTCAGTGTACGCAGAATTCTCCTTTAACTTCTGATGTTTCCAATCATTCTCTCCTTGGCTATAAATTTCTACTTTTTCTTCTGTTCAGTATTGAGCCCATCTTTTCTCCCTACTACAAAATTCCATTGCAATACTCCCTCATATCTCTTTTGATAGTCCTAAAAAAAGGCTGTATTGATGATTTAACAAGTATCATGGATATATGTTTTCCTTAACACATACAATGCAGTACTATTGAGAAAAAAAGAAAAAGATGAACTATTGGTACATGTAACAATATGGATGGTTTTCAGAATAATTATGCCAATTGAAAGAAACCAGACAAAAAGAAACACATAGTATATGATACCACTCATATAAATTTAAAATGCAAACAAACAAAAACAACAACAGAACAAAACAAACAAACAAAAACAGTGTTTCCCGTGGACTAAGTGGGCAGGGGCAGGATAGAAAAGAGGGAATAAAAGGAAAATTAATGGATTTACCATCTAGTCATTTTATTTCACTTCTGCTTCTAAACCTAACCCACAGGTGGCCTACCCAAATAGTTCTCAACTCTTTAGGAAATCAGTGGATGAAGAGAACAATAGTTTAAACATGAGTATATATTTGTTAGTTGAATGAAGAGCTCAGATAACCAGAAGAGAGAATGTGACATGAAAAATATAGAAAGAAAATAAATAATTATATCACAGAGATATAATTAGTTATCATTTTGAAGTAAGAATATATATTTTCTCTGCCTCCTACCGCTGCCCCCAGCAAGAAGGCAGGCACTGCAAGCCAGGAAAAGGGTTGTCACCTGAACCTGATCATATTGGCATGGTGATCTTGATCTCAGCCTCTAGAACTTTAAGAAATAAACCTCTTGTTGCTTAAGCCTCCCAGTCTATGGTATTTTATATCAGCATGGGCTGATTAAGCTAACAGTTTCACTCCTTCCCCTTAGAAGAACCAAGCTTTAAGATTTATATCCATTTTAAGTCTTAATAAACTAAAAAAAATCAAAATGATGAAGGAAAGATTGCTTTCTATGAGAGTGTGAAAATGATAGCTGCTCTAATGTGCTATCTGGGAAGATTTCCCTGAAAAGGGGAATGATGAATACTCAATAGGACAGGAAAAGAGAAAAACAGAGGAAAGCACTTGGACCAGAGGGAACACCCAGTGTAAAAACCAAGAAGAAGCGAGAACAGAAAATGGGGGGAAAATGAATAAAGAGTAAGGGAGCATATGGGTCATTCAGACATCTAAGAGGATCTCATGAGGGGCAGGGTGAGAAAGGCCAGAAGGGCAAACGTACAGGGTCTTCCGATCAAGGCTACAAACCTGAATTTTGTTCTGAAAGTTATAGTAAATCTCTCATGTTTTTTAAGCACATTAGTATCATTATTGGTTCATAGTTTTAAAGATTATTCTGCCTCTGGTGTAGAGACTAGATTAGATAAAAACGAAAGAGCTGCAGAGATACCAATTAAGATCCACTGCATTTGTCCAGGAAAGGGATAACACTTGAGGTTTTCAGAAGGGTGAAGAATGCAAATAGCAGAGCAGTATTTGCAAACCAAGGACTTC